TCTCTCTCTCTCTCTCTCTCTCTCTCTCTCTCTCTCTCTCTCTCTCTCTCTTTTCTCCTCGTCGTCGTTGTTGTTTCTCACACGCGCACCGTCTCCTCCGCGAGAATATTTCACCGAAGCCAACGGCGAGCGGTGTATCCGTACTTGTATCGGCGTCGGAGCACACTCCCCTTCAATTTTCCCTCCGGCTAGACGAATGGTCAACTAACGACGCGACGGAAGAACGAACGCGCGCCGGCTTATCGGCGAACGTGGTGTGTGCACCGCATGACGCGCGGCTCCTCGCGGACGACTGCTGACTGACCGTCACTGTCGCGCCGATGTGTATCACGTGGTCCACGCGCGGCGATTTCGCCGATCGTCTCCCGGTCACGACCGCGACCACGACCACGATCACGACGACGACGACGACGACGACGACGCCGCCGTCGCCGAAGAGATGTCCTCGCGGGGTCGCTCGCGGAGGTCGCGAGACCGACGAGCGGCCTTCTTAAGGACGCGCCCCGATCCTCCGCTATCGTGTCCTCTCGATCACGAGGCGGCCGTTTTGTCGACGCCGGCGCTGCTACGGACGCACGGACGGACGGAGGTGGAGGAGGAGGAGGATGATACACGGTAGAGAGCGCGGTGGATGTATTACTACCGGCTGACACCCCCGCGACAGCGCCGCAATGAACTCGCCCGGTACGAAGGGTCAAAAGCACCGCGGCAAAATAATAACAGAACGCAGCCGCCGCCGCCGCCGTCGTCGTCAGCGACGTATGAGCCGGGCAGTAGCCACCACTGCTGCCGTTGTCGTCGTCCTTGTCACACGAACGAACTTCCTCTCGTCCTCTGTTCCTCTTCTCTCGGACTCCAGGCCAAACTAACCGGCGACACCGCGAAGAAATCGACGCGACGCACTGATACGTCGAGACAACGTCGTCGATGCGACCACGCGACAATGATAATGGTGGTGGTGGTGATGGTGGTGGTGGTGATAATGATGCTGATGATAGTGACGATGATGATGATGACGACGACGACAACAACAACAACGTCGTCGTCGTCGTAGTGATGCACCACTTGTAACACGACGGATGTTTGCGACGCAACTGACGCTTTTATTGTTGTCACTGCTCAGGCTCGGTTCCCTCTCGTAGCTACTACCACCGTCGCCGCCGTCGTCGTCGTCGCTGCCGGCACCCGAGGAGATACTCCGATCCCGAGCGACGATGTCGATATCGTCGCGGTCGTTGTTGTTGTTGTTGTTGTTGGTGGTGCTGCCGTTGGTGGTAGTGGCGGTGGTTGTTCGCGGCCGCGGGTTTTGGCGGGTTTCCACGGGCGACGAGCGCGCACACCAGCACTGGCACACACCGCGGCCGCCGTGCATTCACCTCGTCCTCGCAGTACGCGCCGCCGCAGCCGCCGCTGCCGTCGCCGTCGCCGCCACTGCCGCCGACACGCTCCGACGACGAGTCCCCCTCGCCAGCTCGCGCCGCAGCCGTGATCGGCTTCCTAGGGGTCCTCGCGGGTGGACGCCTCGTAGGAGCTGCTGCTGCTGCTGCTGCTGCTGCTGTTGCTGCGAGTCGAGATCGTTGCTCCCGCCGCTGCTGCTGATACCGCCGTCGATATTGGCACAGGCACTGCTGGTACTGCTGCTGTGCCGCCACGCCACACCGAGACGCACGGAACGAGGTTGTCCGACGACGCACTGTCTCGCGAGCGCGCACGAATCAACACCGTCAATCACGAGGACCTCGGCGCACCGTCGCACGTCACGGCTCGCACGACGCGTAACGCAGCGCGAGCGCGTACCCGCAGCACACACGAGAATCGCACGTCCACCTAACCGCGGGGACACCGCATCGCTTTCACGGGCGAACATGGAGCTGGATCCATGCCGAGTGCTTGGCGATTCGGCCGCGAGGTCGCGCGCCGAGCGCCGTCGTCAGAGAGAGGAGCGAGCGAGAGCGAGAGAGCGTGTGCGCGCGCGCGCACTCACTTCGGCGCGGCCTTCGCGGGTCGCGCCGCCGCAGGCCTGCCAACGCGACGCGTCGCCGCTTGACGACAACGGACGCGCTCGATTCGCGCCCGATGGCGCCTCCGGCGCCGCTCTGGCGCGCCTGCGCGGCCTCGCGGGAGAGCGGTATCTCGCGTGCGTCGCCCCGAGACTCTGCCGGCGATTTCAATTATTGACGAATATCACGATCGATCGATTCGCATCGAGCCGATGCGATTCAATGGTTGATGCTCGATACAACGCGCGGCACGTCTTCACTACTATTGTTCATTCATAATTTCTTATCGTTGTCGCCGGCGACAGCCGCCGTGATCGATGAGAGTTACACGTGGCGACTTCGCGATAATACGTTTGACGAGATCGAGAGCACATCATTCGAAACTGAGCGAAAGCGTGTTTGAAATTACGGCATAAATTGCTCGTTAGAGCATTTCCAATGAAACCCGTCGCGCTTCAAAGATCAAAGTGATACATTTAGCGGCGCAATTCACGCCCGAAGAGTAGCGTTCGCGATTTATGCAGAGTTCCAAAGTACAGAACTTTCTCTTTTTTCATATCACTAATGGATTCTTGAATGGACGTTTCCTTTTTTCTCTCTATGCGGCTGAATTGTAAAAAGATTTTATTAGTTTTCTTGTCATTTGAATGATACAGTCGTTCTAATATCAGTCATCGAAACAATATATATGTAATGCGAATCTTAGGTGGTACGAACAAATGCTGTATAGTCACTTGAATCACCATAAACGATTCATTGCGTAGCCAATATTAGCAAATGAGATATTTGCTTGTTGTGTATATGTAGAAATATAGCTATGAACCAATAAACTTATAAAAGGACGCGAATTTACACGAGTAAAGATTCCAACTGCTCGTGACGGTAAAAACTTTTTTACAGGTTTATTACATATTTACAGTACTCTGGTGAAACATATCCGACAAGACAACTTGTCTCTCCAACAAATGGCTACAGGCCTTTAAAGGCACATATAACTACAAATATGCAACAAGAAAATAATACCAATACATAGATATTTGAATTAAAAAAAAAAGTCACTTATAACATCGTCTGTAAAAGCTTCGATTATCCCGACAAGGGAACATTGTATTCCCTACGTGGGAGTGATTCGGAGCTTCATACATCTGTTTCCATAATTTATATATTAATTTTAAATATTGAGTTCGATAAAGAAAAAAAGAAAACATCAGAAGAAAGAATCATTCGATGTAGCCGATGAGAGGGACTCGTGCAAACAATGTCGAACGGTTGAGAACATTCTGCAGATAATAATACAGTACACGTATTTGGGACGTACTGCTAGTAACGATTATCGCGACGAGACCGTTACTTCAGTGCCTCGCGCAAGATAAGATGGCACTGTGCGATAAAATCTCTCTCCACACGAAATCCCAATAAGTTTCACGCGCGCGCGCGCGCTCTAAGATAATACTTATCAGGCAGAAGGAAAAGTATTCCGGGCAACCGTTAGAAGACGAATTCCTACGTAATGCACAACACTGCAGCAGCCAAATGGTGGTCACGCAAACGCGTCGGATCAGTCGGCGACCAATATACAGGGGTGTAAGACGTCTTATCTCTTGGTTGCAATTCGGAAAAAAAAAATTGTCGGCCCGACTGATATCTCCCCAGCGATCCTTCGCAACAATGTGACGCGATTTTCCGCATAATTGTCTTAAGATAGAGTTCTCGTGGCTACGAAGAACAAGATCCGGCCGATGGGGATATTCATGGTCTAACGGCGCGCGCACGCGCGCACATCCACACACGCACGCACGCACGCACGCACGCACATATACATACGCACTCATACATGGAGAGAATGACGATCTATTTCTATAATAAAAATATCTTCACGACGAAACGAAGTGTTCGTGCACGTTTATTCGGTGAGCTCTGTTTGCACGTTCGTCACGAAGAAGCCGGAATCCGCTCGAGACAACTTCCGGACGTGCCGTTCTCTTCAGAAAATTTGTACACACAGTTCCAACAAGCAGCCTCTCTTTGACAAACTTGCTAATGCGTCGCGCATCACTGATTTCCCACGTGCGAATCTTCACGTGTGGTCGACGAAACGTGTGGCGAGAGACGTTTTTCTTTTTTCAGAATTTCGTACAGATATATGTGATCGACAGTACGTGTGGCACAATGCTCTGTATATTGCAATGCTATTACGACACTGTTGCAGCTCTCACAGTGCGCACACAGGTGCGGGGTCTTCTTTCGGTGGAAAGCTGGTTCCTGGCTCCGTCGGGATATTGCACAATTGGTATCTATCGACGACTCGTACGCTTGAAAATGATCGAAGCACTGTACTGAATCTTTCGTCCAGCTGTCCGCTACGAACAAGTATTTGCACTGTGGGGAAGTCGCGATTCGTGCTCATCCGCTTTTGCGACTAGTTTCATTTTCCTGTGCACAATAAATGACAAATCATAAAACTATTATGTGCGACATACGTGAGCATAATCTCTTTGGCCGTTCAACAAAGTTCAACCAATCCGGCCAACACCGCCGGAGAATGATTACTTTGTTAACGACAAGTGACCTCAGAACTTGCCCCGGTGGCCTCCGCGACTCCGGTACGGTCTCCCCCCCGGGTGCTTTCCTTTGAAAGTATGACCTTTACCTCGTATTCCTCTCCCTCTTCCGTGCCACTCGGATTCTCTCTGGTACGTGTGGCCCGTCATTACGCCGTTGTCGTCGTTGCCGTTCTCGTCAGAGTCTTCCAACTCCATCGGGCTCTCACCGCGACTGTGTTCGCTCCTTCTGTCGTGGTACTCGTCGCGCTCCGTAGAACGTCTGTACTCGGGCGAGAATCGAGCGTGACCGTAGTGATCGCGCACTCTGTGACCGGGATAACCGTCTCTGAACGGGGAGTCCCTTCTCACGTTCCTGGAGCCGTGATCAGCGGGCTCCAGATGGTGTTCGTGGTCGACCGTGTCGAGTCTTCTGGGCGGAGAGGCCTGCCGGTTCCACGAACGCCTCTGCGAGGAGTTACTCAGGTGGAGTCTGAGATCGTCCACTTCGCGGAATTTGGGCGCATAGTCGTACGTTTCCCGCACGCTCCAGTCGAGACGATCCATTATCGGTCGCCTCTCCTCTCTGTTTACTTGCTGAAAATCATGCGGATAAACCTGCGTCTCGCAATGGAGCATGGAGACAATGTGCACCTGCACACCCTTCGTTTGCATCTCCACTTCGTCCGTCTGACAGATTTTCTGGTGCGTTTGAGTGGTCGACTTCGCGATCGGTGCTGGCTGTTCCATGTTCTCCTCCCAGTATATCTTCGTTTTGCTCTTCTGCAGCAGTATCGAGTTCGAGCCGTGGTCCTCGGTCTCGTATCTCACGTCTTCTTCGTCACGAGCGTAGAAAAATCGACCCTTCATCTTTAAACGTGGGTCCTCGTACGGTAGTTGCAATAGCGCTTGTTCGCAGTGTCGCATTATTTCAGGATTGAATCCTATTGTTGGGGAAAGAAGATAAAGACGCGCGTGGTATTATAACACACGAATCATACGCATGCCGTAATGCTTATACGTTGTATAATGTCATGCTTCTTACAATTGTCACACACAATCGTAAGTCACAGATAGAGAATGTTGGTTTTCTTTAGAAAATGATGAGAGAGAGAGATACACTGATTATATCTAAGTAATCTTCTAGTAATGTATCGCAAACATTTTACTTAGAATTTCGTGACTCTTACCTGGGTACAACACCGGTATATTAGATGGATCTAGAAGCACGATGAAAAAGAAAATATAGGAAATTAGTATGATTTCTTGCATGTGAGTCTGGCCACGCGGCTCTTCACCTGTGGCCAACAACGATAGCAAGGACCGTATCGATTCTATGCGAATCGAAATACAAGTCAAAAAAGAAAAGAGAAAACGAATAAAATCATACTCGCACCTTTGGCCGAGACAGACGCTTCCAGTAGACTCGACAAACTGGTTTTTTCAAATTGCTGCAAGAACAATTCACACAGAATATCACGTTAATTTCCTTCTTCCTTCTCTCTTTACGAAAATAGCTCATGATAACCGCGATAAACGAGACAAATCAACGAACGAAGCTGATGCTTCAAAAATAATACCAAGTTACTCGTCACTCTATGATACGTATTATGCGGCAATTACTTTTGGCTTGGAGATGACCGGTGGTTCGGGTGTCTTCAGTCGTTCTTCGTGCGGCTGACGATACGGCGCGTTGTTGTACGACGTTGTTTTGTGCTCGTTGTAGCTCTGTGCCGACATGGCACAGGATGACGGGTTAGCAGCCGCCAAACCGGCGTCACCCTCTGCCATGCCGAATTGGAGGATCGACTGCGGCTGTTGAATGGGAGGCACGTGGGACGGATTATACGGCAATAGGCCGTGATCCATCGTCGGTGCGGGAACAGGTTGCGGCGAGGATACCGACGCAGGATGCATCGAGGCGCGGATGCCGGGTGGCGGTGGTGGCGCTGACATGGAAGCGGCGTTCGGCTGATTGTACATGACGGGGCCGGAAGAGTAATCCGCCGGGGGCAATGTCTGCTGGGCCATCGGAATCTCGAAGGTCATAGGTACGACTGGCATTTCGAAGTTCATGAAGCCCGGCGGGCCGCTCGGCATAGACATGACGGAGGACGGCGGCGGCGGTGGCGGTGGCGGCGGTTGCGCTGGTAACGGCGGCTGCGGGCCCGGCTGATGCATGTAGGTCGCGGTCGCGAGGACCTGTCTCGTCGCGTCTGCTGCCTCTGGCTGATACACGGGCACGTTAAGCATCGCTGAGGGTGGGTATGCGCCGCCGTTGTTGCTGTTCGCGTTGCTGCCAGCTGGTATCAACGCCTCGTCTCTCAGTTGCCGCGCCAATTCGTGGATGAAGGGCGAGCGCTTCCGCGCTCGCTTCTCCGGCGATCTGCTTCGTGTGCGACGACGGGGGCTGTATCGGCGGTTCATCGGCGAGCGGCTCGTTCTTCTTCTCGAATGTTCCGTACTGCGGCTCCTCCGATCGCGATCGCGATCGCGAGATCGGCTTCTCCGGCTTAACAATTCCAAGTAGGTTATAATTTGATTTTTTTACACAATACACAATATCGAACGATCAGTTGACATGTAGCTCTAGCGTATGTATATCTGTGTACGTTTTCTTAAACTTTATAGAGTTACAATAAACATCAGAAACGTAAGGTTAAATATTTCCTCCCACAAGAATATATCATAAGTAGATATTCTATACTGTATGTGTAACGACGCAAGTGAATAAATGTCTAGAGCGAACAGCGGTCGCAGGACGATGATGGACAACAGTGGGACAGCAGTAGAGAAGGATAACATTCGGCGGTAAGTACAAACACGAGCTATCGATCTGCGGATCGTCTTGTGCTTCGTGATCGTTGCTCGCCAAAAAGAAACCAATTTATGTTGGATTTTATTAATTTAAATTTATCAGATTGAATTCTCGCGCTAGTGCACTGAATAACGTGACGTCGAATATTGTGCCGGCCAGGAGAGCCTTCTCCTGATGGAATATTCGACATGGTTGTTCAGTAACTGGCGATGCAAGTACACTTGGAAACCATTTTACAAGGACATAAAGGCTCCTGGCTACTCATCGCGGCTATCTTGGTTTATAATGCCAAAAGTGAGCCCATTTTGGCGTGTCTAAAATTCCCACAAAGTACGTCGAAATAACAAAATACATCCACAAAATGACACTTGTAATTGATTAAGTAGCACCTCCTCTAAAATCTTTGTAATTGATCAATAAGAGCCGACATGAAACATAGGTTGTGAAATGTACATTCTTATATACGTATACATGTACAAAATCCAAATCTAAACGTTTTAGGTTGCAATCCTCTTCAGTAGGAATTAAGAAAATTGCACAAGTTTGTTGTGTGCAGACGGACAATCAACATCTTTGAAAATTAATCTGAACAATTGCGTCAAGGCTCATGAATACAAGGACACGTTCCAATTACTAGACTCAGGATACAATTAAACATTTGTCTAGGCGCGATTGGTTCAATTAATTTTCGAAGATGTTGACCGTCTACTACACAAGATCGACTGAAACGTTTACATTTTGATTCTATATGTATATATAATATATTTCACAACTTACACACACACACACACACATCTTATGTCGATTCTTATTAGCTAGTTACACTGAGAGACTGTGTATCTTATTGTGTATCTGTGTAGAGCCCATTATTGCTGTATTTACTTTCCTCTTACTCCAACAATCGACAAAATAATGAGGTAAAGTTAGTTCAAAAAATAGGTAGTTGATCGCGTTAATTTCACGATTACTTATCGATTGTTGAAGCAAAAGGGTAGTGTTTGTAATGTTTGCGGGGTGAGCTTAATAGGTCGCAAGCGTCATTCCTTGGATATACTCTTTCATTTCAACATACTTTGCAATTTTGGGCGTGCATTTCTTCGCTTTTGTTCAGTTCGCGGCGGGTAGCCAAGAGGCTCAAGAATAATTGATCTCCTCACCGTTCGTGCATGTCGCGTCTCCTATGTCGCTCGCTGCTCCATCGTCGGTCCACACTCGACCGTCGCTCCCAGCTAAGTCGTCGTGGACTTCTTCGTCGGTCCGGACTCGTCACACTCGGGCTCCTACGATCGGAGACGTAACGCGGCGAGTTCCTGCGCTTGCTGCCCGGACTGTAACCCACGGGGCTTCTGTGCCTTTCCGCGCTTGTTCTACCGAACGGACTCCTGCGACGTTCCGGACTAGCTGCGCCACGTCGATGTGGACTCACCCTGACGACTCTGTCGTGACTCTTACGCCGCGACGGGCTCGACCTGCCGTAACGATCTACACTCCTGCGTCGTTCGCGGCTCCTGCGTTCGCGTTGCTGCTGCTGCGCCCGCTCCAGGTTCTGTCTCTCGGCGATGCTCTGGATAGCCTCGGTTTCTGTGCCCGGCGGCACCACGTTGTCTGAGTCGAGCAGGTGCTTGATCGCCTTCTCCTTCTCCGCCAGTAGCTTGCTCTCTGTGTCCCTTTTCGTCCGGATCTTATCGCGCTCGATGTCCTTGGTACTCTTGGCGGGATCCCGACGCTGAGTGTCCTCGCGCTTCTTCTCTTCTTTCTTCGGTTTCTCGCGGTTGTTAGGTCCCTTATGCTCGCGCGCAGCGCGCTGATGACGTTCCCTATAATCACTCTCACCATCAATCATGGCTCCTGCTGTCGATCATCTTCAGCAGGAATTAATATAGATTCATTTGAGTCAGAGAGGAAATAGCTCCTGGCCCAAGTAAACAAAAGCACAACACGCACACAGCGTCGATTGTGATCTCTCCACAATCTTGCATGTCACGCTCGCGTGTGTGTATAATGAGAACATCCTATACAATATCTTTATTTTTATATATCTGTAAAGTAACAATATATGATGTTATAAACATTTACAATCAATGACACTACCTAGATGGTGGCTTCGTTTTCTGCTCTGTGGAGTCTGCTGCACGTTCCATTTCGCGATTTTTGTCTTCATCACCTTCCCATGCATCTACAACGTCCAATCCTTCCATGAAAGATTCGTCATCGAGAAACCCTTGCAGTTCTTCGTCTGGTATTTCCTTGAGGCCTTCGATTGCACGTTGCACGTCGTCATTGATGCTTTTTAATGAAGACTGCTTCAGTATCTCGTGAGGCTGCTTTACATATATCTTGCAGGTAGTCTCCATCTTCTCATCTTGCTCATCTTTCACTTGTTCTTCTGTATTACTTGCGTTACTCATATTGTTCACCAAGTTGCAACTACAGTTTGATGTAATCGAGAGAATGCAATCAACTGTCTCGACTACAACTTTTCAACGCTGCATAAAATGTAACTATCTCCCATATGTTTGTTTCTTTACAGCTAGTTTACTGAATCAAAATATAGTACATAATAAATGCTTTGAGATATAAGATTGCTTTCTTTTTGTTGTGGCTAGAGAAGCTAATCGTGGTTCAACGCAGCACAATACTACAACCAGTTTATCTCTAGTATATATTCAACAAAGTGTGCAAGAGTTCCAATTTATTGTTAAGATCTGAAATTTAACGTTTAATCTCATGTAAATCAATCAATTCAACCTGAGAATAATGAAAACAGCAAAACTTGCTGCAATAGTCACTCAACTAAAGCACAGTACAGAATAAAATATAATGTTTGATACCAATTAAAAAACGGGAGAATTCTCTTTTCTCAAGTCTGTCCTTTATCGTTAAATTAAGATAACGACCATCTCAACCAACAAAATATCCAAACTTCGTCGATTATTCACAGCATTACAGCAAAGAGTAACTCCGCAGTTTTTAACGCGATTATCTTGCAACCAACAATCTATATCAATAATCAAATATTAATTAAAAATGAAATTAAACAATGGCACGTTGGTATATCGCCATAATACCAAATACATTGCTAAAATAATATGCTGAGACGACAGAACGTGATCCTGTGAAGGTTACTCTCTCTCTCTCCATCAATCCCGCCATGTTACTCAACAACGAAGTTAACCTAAGCCATGATAGTTTCGGCCGAAGTCTTTGCCTCTCTAAAGCAAGACAGAAGTAGATCTGGGATCTGAAGGGAGAAAAGGATGAAAAATAAAGTGCAATTAAGACAAACTATTGTCTAGAATTGAATCAGATACTTATTGTAGGCAAAAATACATGCATCGTCGTACCCGAATAGTCTTTATCGAAATCCGCAATTTGTAGTTTTGAAACTTATTAATTAACGAGAATTAATGTATTTCTGATATTGTTTACCGTCGATGCGAAAAACACATCAAATCGCGGCAGCTCTTACGGCTCTCCTCACCTACACACTATTACACACTATTACACTTTTTGTGTATTCAAAATAAAATAAATCAAATTTGGCATCAAAATTTGGCAGGAGATGAAGGGAATTGGAAGATTGCGGAAAAGTATATAAAACGTAGCTGAAAAACGGATCAAGTAAGTCCACTTTGTTATGGAACGTTTGCAGTAAATCAATTACTACAATTCTATTCCAAAATATAGGTCCGACTGACTTACCGTTGACTCGTACCTCGATTCTTCTATAAGTTCTTCTATAAGTGGCGACTCGTAGCGGAGACTTTGAAACTAAAGCCAGCAGCACACGATGCTTGTTTTCATGCCGGATTGCTTGCTGGATCAAATTACACTGTTCTGATTGGTGCCTTTCTGAAGATGGACAATCAAAACAGAGTATTTCCATCCAACAAGCAATCTAGCACGAAAACAAGCACCATGTGCCGCTGGCTTAATTTTCAATATCAATTGTAGATTTTAATGAAACTTTTGGCCTGTTCTTTTTAGTTGCGTTGCCGAACTAGTGCAATAAGTTAGAGGAAGAAAAAATATATTTGTCTCATTTTAACTTATTGCACTAGTTCAGCAGTTAGCTACAAAGAATAGACCACTTGGCTCTGGTCCACAACCTTGCTTTAATGCCTATTTCCACCAATTTTGGTTAACTCATAGACTTAAGGGACGTCTACATTGGAAGTAAGCAGTAAGAAGTAGGAAGTAAGAATAAGAAATTGACCAATCATAGTTGATTATTCTTCTCACATTCGACTGTGGTTGGTCAATTTCTTACTCTTACTTCCTACTTCTTGTTATTTACTTCCAATGTAAACGTCCCTTTATATAGATAAACGAATGAGCTACGGTCCCTGCCGTAGAAGATAGAGTGCTTTCCCACTTAGCGCGTCACGCGTCGCATCATCCATCCATCGCAGACCAATCAAATCGTCCCATTTTATAGCCTAACTTTCGACAAATAAAATGGGACGATTTAATTGGTCCGCTAAGGACGACGCGCGCGTGAGAACGCACTCATAGCGTGGCACATCTACGGTGCAGCATAGCCATCTGGGTAGATCTGTCCTACTCTAAAGTAGAAATAGTGGGAATGAAACCAAACGAAGGGAATGCATAGAATGAGGGGGAGAAAGCACTTTTATTGTGAAGGAGAAATTTTATGAAGTAGTTTATTGTAATAAGGTAATAGTTATACTAAGTTAATGTATATTTTCTCCGTATGCACTATTTCACGTTATTCTGTCTTCATTTATTGATGATCAATGTGTGTGTTTCATTCGCTACTAATCCGCACCAAGCAACTAAAAGAAAAGGACAAATCTACCGAGATGGCTATACTGCACCATAGATGTTGCCATGCTATCTCCTACGGCAAGGATCGGTCTATCTATATAAGTTTATAGGTTAACTTAACCGGCTGGTTTATTCCAACAGAATTGACCAATCATTTTTCGTTATTCAGAATTGACCAATGACATGTGTTAATTCTGACAAAAAAAATGCTATTGGTCAATTCTATTGAAATAACCAACCGGTTAAGTTGACCAGAGTTAAAAATGGGTATAAGTCGTAAATTGTAAACAAATTGACCAACAGTCAATTATTCTAACAATTCCAATATTACGAGGGCTGTATGATAAGTATCCGTGTTTAACGACTGATGGCGTCACCAACTCAAAGTCTGTATACCATCGTTTAACGACATCAGTCAAAATTTCAGACAGATTTATCGAGTAGTTTTGTTTTGATAACTGTTGAAAGTAGACAATTTTTGGTTTGTTTGTAATCATGGAAAAAGAGCAATATCGATCAGTGATTCGATTCCTTTTTTTGGATGGAAAGACGTGTGAGGAAATCAAAGTAAAGTTGCATATCGTTTATAAGAACCATGCACCTTCGATGACTACCATCAGATATTGGTTTAATGAATTCAAGCGTGGCCGAACATCCGTTTTTGATGAAGAGCGCCCAGGTCGTCCGATTGAGGTGACTACGGAGGATATGGTCAACAAAATTCATGATATCGTATTAGCAGACCGCCGGATGAATATCAGAGAGATTGCTGACATTGTAAATATCTCAATTGAACGCGTACAAAATATCCTACACGAAAAATTAGGCATGAGAAAGCTATCAGCGAGATGGGTGCCGCGTTTGCTCACAGTGGAACAAAAACGGAATCGCATGACAACTTCAGAGCACTGTTTGGACATGTTTAAGCGCAATCCGAAAGAGTTTCTGCGGCGTTTCGTCACTGTTGACGAAACATGGGTCCATCACTACACGCCAGAAACGAAAGAACATTCAAAACAGTGGACTTCACCCGGCAAACTTGCTCCAAAAAAGGCAAAAACAGTTCCATCGGCCAGAAAGATCATGGTCATCGTTTTTTGGGATTCGCAAGGCATCATTTTCACCGACTATTTGGAGGAGGGAAGGACAATCACTGAGCAGTACTATGCTGATTTATTGGGCCGATTCGACGCTGAATTGAAGAGAAAACGGCCCTATTTGGCGAAGAAAAAAGTGCTCTTTCATCATGATAACGCACCAGCTCATTCGTCCGCAATCGCCACAGCAAAACTGGTCGAATTACGCTACGAATTGCTGCCTCATCCACCCTGTTCTCCAGATTTGGCCCCCTGCGATTTCTATTTATTTCCAAACATGAAAAAATGGCTTGACGGAAAGCGGTTCATGTCAAACGAGGAAGTCATCGACGAAACAGAGGCCTATTTTGCGAAGTTCGACAAATCATATTTTTTTGATGGTATAAAAACGTTGGAATATCGCTGGATTAAATGTATTGAGCTGAAAGGAGACTATGTTGAAAAATAAGTAAAAAAATTTTTTTTAAATGCGTTTCCTTCCCTAAAATGGGTACTTATCATACAGCCCTTGTACTTCAAAGTTGTTTCCATTTGAGGATCACAAAAGTGTTCGAATACGATCTGAAATACGGGCGTTAGATCACTAATGCTCAATTTCTTCATCTTTAGTTAAATTTATCTGTCGGTTAAATATCAACCGTGATTGGTTAATTCTTGCCAACCATAAGTATGATTGGTTAATTTCAATAGAATAACTGGCAGATAAAGTTAACCAGAGGTGAAGAAATTGGGCATAAGAACCGGTTGTTCCAACTTCTTGGTAAATTAATTGATAGTTAAATTATGTTTCTGTCTTCGTTTTTTCTTCAAATTCGACAAAGGTAGACACATAATTTAACTATTAGGTAGCTTACGAAGAAGTTGGAACAATCGGCCCTTATATTTCCAGTTCAATAAGAGGTTTATGGAATTGTTAGACCTGTTATTCTTATAAGTGATGTTGGAAATTAGTTCTAAAGTCTCCGCTACGAGTCGTTACTATACTAACCGAAGATTCGACTCAACACCCAGTCGAACTTCTAACAAAGTGCGACGCGGTACGAATCAGATTTATCTTTAAATAATCCAACACAACAATGATTAATTTACTTAATAGCAATAATTGATTTTTATTGTTAGTACATAGTAATGCATTTTCAAACAGTATACCTCCACAAGCTATTTCATCGTATTCGAAACTTGTCTAGATACAAATAAATGTAAAATAGATGAATCGGAGACAGATCCACGTCTGGTTTTTATATACGAATATACTTCACATTTTTACAAAAAGCTTTTATTTCTTCCATAATTCAGTTATAGTCGCGTTTGGAAGTAACACGCGACCGTACGTGAAGAGAGAATAATACGTTACACAGATATCCTCGTATATGTACAGGATGCTTATGAGAATTGTGATAGTCTTGCAAAAATACACTTTAGTATTGCAAGAGTGATATACATCAACTAAAGCACTTTGTAGAACCACCTTTCATCTATTATTTTTCTTTCTTCAAGAGTTAAAATTATCTCTAATTTTACAATAAATAGATATTTTAACCTTTTCATCTACTGCATATTCTATCTAATGTGGATGTAGAAAATAGAAATCTAATAGTATTATGCGTAGCTTCAGAGATTATCAAATCCCTGATCTGTAATGCCAACTTGCATCATACACGCCTTTGAGATCTCAAAGAATTATCTTTGAAGATAATTTAATTCGTCATATTTAAGTGTTATGTTACAATGTCTCTTAAGCTGTTTTTTAATCGAGCAACATACGTACATATATTGCTATTAAACTTTGAATCCGTACACATTATAGGAGAAATTGGACATAATGTGTCCTTAGAATCATCATGGCTGTCTATTTTGTAACAATTGGCTGTACGTCTTGTGAAATTGCAACATGTGCAGCAACGTCTTCTCAATGATCTTCGCCATTATGCTATCCGCGAAACACTCAAATTGTCGGAAAACGCTCCTGCTATTGTTACTCTCGTCGTTTAATGTTATCATCACTGCCACTGAGTCCGCTTTTTCCAGCGTGCAGGTGAAATTCAACTGTGTACTGGCAGCGTCGTCGTTCTGCTGATTCTGCAGTTGCTCCAATACTCTGTCCGACACGATTGCTTCCTTCTCCAGAGCACTCAGCTGCACGTCCAGGAACGTCCTGTTATTCTTCTTCCTGTTTCTCCACACGCATTTGTTGCCGGTGCAATGAAACGTGATCTTGTGGTGGCTCTCGGTGTGCGCGCGCGACAACGCCTGGATCTTCTTCTGTTCCGTCTCGTGGTCGAGAATCACCTCGACCTGCAGCTTGAAGACCATCTCGTAAATATCCCTGATGAGATTGAAGACCACGTGGTACCAGTTCTCCTTCATGTACTTTTCCTTATCGACGATGTCCTCGCACTCCTCGAAATTCGCCGGTAGCCCAGCCTTGACGAATCGCCCAGCGGTTATCACGCTCTTGTACGTCTTCTTCTTCTTCTTCGGCGGTATCAAGTTCGGAGGCGTCGCATTGAACAGCATCTTCAGCAAATTGTTGTAATTGTCCTCGCTGGCGGTCTTGCAGATCTCGACAGTGAACGCACAGCAACGCTGGAACGCGATTCGAACGCGCTCGGGCGTGATCGCGGTTGTGTTCTGGTCGAGCTCGAACGGATCTTGAACGCACATCGGTCTTTCAACGTCCAATTTCCTGTTGTTATTCTCTATAACGAAGTTTTGGTATCTTTGCATGTAATTGGGCAGCTCGGACGGATGCGCAAAATCGCGCGCTGCGTACACGTTACCATCCAACAGGCACAAGATGCACGCGAAAAAATCAAAGTTGGCATAGAAGGAGAAGAATTCGTGAAACAATTTCGGGATACTGTTGTTATTGCTGCTAGGTGGCAGCGGAGTCTCCTCGTTAAAGTTTACCTGCCAGCCGTTTATGATCAGCGGTATACAGTTCTTTTGCAGCTCTAGCAACGGTGGCAGGAGGTCGACTTGCTGAAGATAAAAGATCACCAGACATACTAAACCGTAATTCGAGATTTTTCCGCCACCTGAGATTCCGAAATGTTTCGCCCAGTATTTGATCAGCAACATTAGCGGCTTCAGTCGGATGTCGCGTAACGCACAGTACTTCAGGAATTGGCTCTTGTAGACACCTAGGCCGTTCTTGAAGGAAATGTCGCAGGAGACGTTGGTCGGCAGATAACGGAACTTTATAATTGGTGTTTTAGCTTTGGGGATTGCTATAATGTCGGCGAAGATGAACTTCATGCTATACATGACTTTTCTCACTTTCCTGAAGATTACCGTTGTCATCACCTGTTGCGGTAAGTTTGGCTGAGTGAAGAAAGGCGGTACACCTGCAACGAGAAGAAAGGAGAGAACGTCGCTCATCAAATGTGCAATGCCATCGATGTAAATGACGATGATATAACAAGAAAAAGATTCTCCTTACCGATTTTGCCGAGATACATGTAGATATCCAAGTCGCATTCCTTAAAACTCAATCCTGCTACGGTGGAGCCGAAGCTGAAGGTTTGACACTCCGGGAAGATCGATTTGAATATGTCGTTCAAATGAGGGCATATAACTTTGTATCTGCCCATCAATTCGACATCACTGAGTTGTATTTCATTCAAAAGCGCCGCCAATTCCTCGTCGAACGCCACCTTGTTCTCAAAGACATGATTTATACGGCTGTAACTGATCGGATCTACATTTTCCGCCGCCTTATTGGCTGCTTCCGTCTGTGCTTGTGAATACTTCTTTTTGTTCTTTGGACTTCCCTCTATGAAATGTTCAAACGACAGTAATTAAACGTATGTCGTAGAATTTTTCTACAGGAAAATAATGGAAAATAGCTCGTGATAATATGATATGAATTTGTGCTGTACCTTTGCCATAATCGATTTTTCTTTGCAGACATAATTTTTCGCGTTGCAGCCAGTACGTCTTACTCATCAACACATCGATAGGTTTGCTGTAACATTACTCATTTTAGCAGACAATATGCACCTAACTTATGATGAATATATCGTCAACATCCGTACTGAAAAAACTTGTTGTAAATACATATATACTTTATTAATCTTTACAATCCAAGAAGCTATTATAGTGGTGCGGCCGCAATTTCATAAAATACAATTCTTATTATTACCACTACTATATACATTTTTCAACACAAATTAGAAAAAAAATATAAAAAATATAAAAATTTTTTAAAAATATCTAATTTATATATTTTATATATATTTATATATTATATATATATATATATATTTTTTTATATATTTTATATATATATAAAATTTAAAAAAAATACGCAAATATATTTTCGCATCATACAAACTTTTAAAACGTTTTACTAAAAAATAAGATTTTAAAGTTTATTTATTATTTTATATATCGCTTATGATCCAGAAAATCACTATAGTGGTGTGGTGGAGATCATATGTTTCTTAATTTACCTTTTCATGTTTAGAGAAAATTTTAGTTCAAAGATTGTAGAAGCCACCCGGAGAGCTGCTCGGATTGTAAGGGCTACTACTATTAATTACCTATTAGAATATTCGATGATGAAAGATTTGCGTCTAAATCGTTCTTTCTTAACTGGCCCGAATTGATGCAGGAAATATACCAATTCTTGCCGTGATATGGACTTTGGCAAAGGGCAAACACAAAGTGACCTTTCCGGGTGATAAAACGGCTCTTCCTCCGACTTTGCATCATGATGATTCGAGCTCGTAGCGACTTGTTCGTTCGTGAATTCAACAGATTCCATGGACACTCCAGCATTCATTATTGAATCACTTAATAGCTGTACTAGACTACTAAAATTATAATTCACGTTTTATCGTATTTTGGTCAGACCTTGTGAATAATATCAGTTCTTCAATGCTAAAGAAATAAGAGAAAAACCAGAATCATTATTTCTCATTAAGATTCAATGCACGACCATCTTTACTAGTCACTTTCAAAAAATATTTCGTCTCAATAAATCCTCGTGAATTTCCAGCACAGAGAATAACACCATTTTCCGACTCAAGAAATATCAAACCATCTTTCTTAGCCTTATCAAAGTCGATATAAATATAGATTTCTGCAGTTCTGCGTAACCCACTGACAAAATTAAGTCCTTTAGCAAAATGAATATGATTTCTTCTCATACGAGACAGACCTTCAGTCTTTATTTTTGACCAGTGCTTAAAATAAGTACCGTGTATTATATCTGATTCTACAGACTCAAGTACTTTTAAACTCAGCTCAGTTATGCCGCTCAGGGAGTGACCTTGATTAGCTTTAATCTCTAAGATACCATCAGCAACATTAAGAGTAAATCTTTGTTTGTTATTATTCTTCACCACTCTCTTGATGTCATCGATGGTATAACTAGACAATGATTTTTTCAATAATTCTTCTACAATAACAAAACCATTGGGTTTGATAATCAGATCTTTTTTTACAGCACCGTGACGCAATAGGTATGACAATTTTTTGCTGAGAATAACATCGTCCTTAACCTGATCCTGGAAATGATAAAGGAAGTAACACATTAGTTGCAATCAGTCTGTATCATATAAAAAACAGAAAACAATTTCTTCAATCTCTCTCCATAAAACTTGGTAATAATATAATGTATTGGAAGCTATTGGAACACAAAACAAAAAAGCTGGTATACAGATAACTATATAAACAAATTATAGAAATTATGAGGAAGATGTAATGCGATATTTTAAGCCACACATGCGATCGACCACACAATTAAACAAGATATGTGTTTTCACAAAGATTTCAGAGGCAACCAATACCATTGTCTCTTTTGGACGTATGCGACTTCACGGATACTGCTATACTGTTGAAAAATATAACATGCCATTACAATTGAAGCATGCACATCGTTTCCTCTCGATATTACGTCACTATGAACTAACCTGTTTGCAAAAACAAAAGCAGAAAGATCACACAATGTCTTGCTGGACTAGTTTATTGGATTCTTTTATGCTTATATCCCGAATATACGTCTTGATGTTTGCGCTTGTGCGGAAACGACAAATTTATAGGATATTCTGATCAAACTGTAATCACAACAATTACATACACTTGACTAGCACACATTTTCGACGTGGAACGAATAACTTGTAGACGTTCATATGGCTGTCACGATATAGATGCACTCTCTTGTCGGAACAGTGATAACGCAGGATTCTCACTGCGTCCGACGTACGACATCCGATATCCAATAAAATAATAGCTTTTTAATGGAGAATTGAATTCTATATTAGAAAGCTGTTCTCCTATTGGATATCGGATGTCGTACGTCGACATCGGACGCGCTGTGAATCTTGTATAAGGGTGCTATTTCACGTGTCGTACAAGCTTTTCGGATACGTTTATTGACTGGCGAATATTAGTATAAGAGTATTTCTAGGTTCTCTGTTTGTCAACCAATGAACGTAACCAAAAAGCTTGTCGTACGACACGTGAATATCAGCTTAATGGCTCCTGCACACAGGACGCGGAAATGCTTGCTGCGCGGCAGAAGTCCGCGCAATAGTTAATCAATATGTTGTTTTTCCGTAAGAGCTAGAAGGTTATTACGGAAAGCAGCGTATTGATTGGCTGTCGCGCGGACTTCCGCCGCGCGACAAGCATTACCGCGTCCTGTGTGCAGGAGCCATAAGGATGCCATTACATGAAGCACGGAACGCGGAAACGCGGAAGACAAAATTTTACTAGATTTCCGCGTTCCGCGAATTGAATCATTTCTTTCCATACATACGTTGAAAAAACGGAAGGCCCAAAACTTTCTCTATTGTCTTTTCATCCAAGGTACCAAGGTATGAATTCCAAAAAAATATCAGGAACGTTTGAACACGTCTTAATGTAACGGCAGTTAGGTTGAACAACTTGTGATAACTTGTGACAACTTGTGACAATGAATTTTTCCGTGCTTGTTCCGCGACTTTACTTCTCCTTAAGGCTCGTCTACAATTTCTGTAAGAATATGCCTGTAAGGGCTATCGCACACAAATTGACATAACTGCATATGCATAGAATAAGATCGTATGGACCAATGAGCATCGAATATTAAGCATCGAACACCAATATGGCGACTTAATACTCGATGCTCATTGGTACATACGGTCTTATGCTATGCATATGCAGTTATGTCAATTTGTGTGCGATAGCCCTAAGGTTGTAAGACACGAAATGAATTATTTTCATTCGCTGACAGCTCACGTTACAGCCTTACAGCCATATTCTTACAGCTATTATAGACGATCCTTTATATTACGTGGAGCACAATTTGCACGGAAAAGCGGAACGGTTTAGTAATAAATAAACATCTGGAAGTCGATTCTGTATCTCGAAACGAAGTGAAAATTACAAAAGTGAGCAAATATACTAGAATATTCGTAATTTCATTGGTCAGTGCCTAGTGAATGTGCTCACTTTTGTAATTTTTACTTCGTTTCGAGATACAGAATTGACTCTCTGTATTCATTTTTTTAAATTGTATTAACTTAATTTACTGCAATTTTTACTAATATGTTTATCTTTTCAGCTTATCTGTTGAATACAAGCATTTTAATTAATAAATATCGTTAAAAATTAATATTTTATAATTCCCCATACCGCTTTCCGCTCAAAATATGCCTCATGCAATATAAGGCAATCAAACAGACGCGAAACGCGTAGCGGATCTAGTAAGATTTTGTCTTCCGCGTTTCCGCGCTTCATGTAATGGCACTTTTAGAATCATAGGTATATCGAACTCGGATGCATTCGATACTACTGAGCACTCAGTAACCTCTTATATCTGATTGGCGTATATCTTTAAGTTCAAACAAATATACCAATCAAATGCAAAACTTACGGAGCGCTCATTTTAGGCTGCGTTCCTAAATTCTTCTCGATGGGTAGAGTACATTTAATTGACCAATTATGATAAAGAAATCCTAGTTATCTTTGTTCTTATTGATCAATGAAATACTTCCTACCCGTTGAATAGAGTTTTGGAACGCAGCCCTGCGGATCGACTACACTTATTCTCGCGCCGATAAAAATGTCCAAAATTGCATTTGAAATTTGAAACACTGTGTAATTCATTATTTACCTTGCTATTAGTCCAAATCGGCCAAATTCGAGTAATGACACGTGCTTTCGCTTCGCGCGAATCGATTATAATCGATTGTTTCAGCGTGCTTGCGCGACCACGTGTGACAACTTTGCGGCGTGAGCGATCGCGGTTCTCAGGGTAGAAAGAATGTCGATAGCGGCCAAAGCCACTTTCAGCTTGTGTTGCGTCGTGTCCATCGGAATAATAGGCTACGTGCATTACAAGCAGTCGTACGACAGGTAGACTCGTCACGAAAACCAAAATATTCGACGGTTGGGTTATGTGCGTGTGTTGTTGCAGGCAGCAACTTCATTTGGGTGTTGTGCGGGACATTGAACGTCGAGAGCGTCGGAAAGCGGAAAATGCCTATATCCTGCAGCAGCAGATCGAATTAACCAAGGAATTGCGCAGAAAACATACAGTTGGAGAGAACGATATGTAGCGTTAAACGGCGTCTCGCTCGAGTGTTGAATTCTTCTTCGCAGTAGAGGAAATTAGAATCTTGTGGAGCTGAAGTGTCCTGTTACGTCATCAGCCGTCACCTCGCCGTGATTTGTGTATTAGTCGACCGCGGAGGTTCTTTTCCAGTAGAATAGCTTGAATTGTTGATTTACAAGAACATTATGGCCACCGACGAAACAACGGATCAGACTGGTAAGTTTGGAGCTTTGCAAATGAAAAACAGTACAAAAGCTCTGGCAGCATCTCTATATGCGGTGCATCGCAGATTCTTTGTACAGTAAAAGTACCTAGGTACATACTTATCTCTGGACTTTCTTATTATTTTGGTCTTTAAATATGAATATTGAAATATGGAATATATATATATATATATATATGTGTATATGTATATGTATATATTCAGTATGTGTATATACTTATTTTATGTTGAGAGTTTAAATATATTTATATTTAAAGACCAAAACAAAAGTATTCATGATTAAATACGTGTCCAGGCATTAGTATTTTGACCTTATATATTAAAAATATAAAAAGTTATACTTTACTTTTTTGTGGAAAATATTGTCAGAATTTACTTGTGCAACGCTCAACTTTATTATATCTGATTTAAGTAACTTTGAAAATATCTATCATAATTTGTGTAAAGTATTGTGTAGTATAACAAAACAATGAATATTTTGTGATAATATAACAATAAAATAGAAGGTAACAATAGATTTCTGTTTTACAGATCTGTCATGTGTGGACGATAACTTGATGAGCTTGGAGAAATTGGACCGAGCATCACCTGACTTATGGCCTGAACAAAGTGAGTAGATTTTTTTCAAAGATCTCCTCAAAGCAACATACACAATATACTGTATATGTTAGCGAGTGATGAAGTTCCAGGTGTGCACGAGTTCGTCGCTCAAAATTCACCGCAGACAGAGCAGTGTACCTGGGACGTGCAGCCTGAGGACATGTCGCACTTGGCCCGTGAGTTGATGTGTATTAACGTACGACTTCTCATGCTATGTCGCTAAATACCGTAAAATATTTTCTTGCAGAGCTGGGTAATTTGTCAATGACCGGGCTTATCTCGGAAGTGAAAAGACTGCACGATTTAGCTTATCAGCTGGGTCTAGAAGAGGCTAAGGAAATGACGCGCGGCAAATATTTGAATATATTTAAACAAAAATAATACATTATCTTCTGAGAAAAGTTGAGTGAGAAAAAAATAGAAACTCGTGAAGATGCAAATAGTATCTCGGTCGTTTGACACCACTCGTGGGTGTCTTTGAACTCGTGAGAACGGCTCGCGTTCTCTCGTGGCCTCAGTAATTCTCTAAGATCCACTTTGTGTACCTCTGTACGTTCACAAATGCAGACGGGAAAACGGTGGTCGTCGAGTCACAGCTAGACCCATATGATAGGATTCCGACCTGACGAAAGCAAGCAAGCAAGCAAACAGATAAAAAGAAAGTCAAACATTACACACACACACGATCGTGCGAGTCACGCTCGTCGTAGTGTACATGTTTCGTGCTCGTGACTTACCAGGAAATATGTGTCCGCATATTTGTACAACATAGGACTGCCGCTGTACCCGGAGCAGGGTTCGCAGCTTCCTGTGGCGCATAATTCGACGGACAAACCTTGGTTCAGGTAGTCCGAGCACTGCTGCTTAGGTACGAGTTTTAGCTGTAATGACTGTTGCGTCGTTGGCTGCGCTACAACAGGGTCGCAGCATATGGACGTTATACTAAACATCTCCACACTTTTTTACGCTTAATACAGTTTACGCTTCGGTAGTTTTGTTTCGATCGGATACGATACCTTTCTGACCGGACAGTCTTCCCCATCCGACGACAGTGCATGTACTTCCCAAGCTAACGTATCTGTCCTCCGGTATGAAGCATATAGGTTGCGCTGTGGCTGAAGACCGGATGTATTGCATATTTCATTGAGAGGTAACCAGAACAAGCTTCCCTCTTCTCCTCTCTATTTCTCTCTCTCTCACTCCTTTCTTTCGAAGCGAACTGTCGTTCTTCGAGTGTACATATTATGTATTAAGGAACTTTGTACGTACCCGTGAAGTCGATGGTCTTCTTTAGGCGAAGCAAGGCTACGTTGTTGGAGAAAGTCGCAGCGTCGTAGCCAGGATGTTTGATCACGTACGATATGTCGTGGCTACTGGTTTCGCGCCCGCAAAATAACTCATTGCAATCCGGATCAGACTCTGTATTATATTCACCGACAAGCACAGAGCATCTAAACACGAACGGAACGAATTGCCGTAATTGTTGCATGCCAAAACTGATCGACGCGAGACTGTTGTACAATCGAAAATCCATAGCAACGAGATCATTCGTTATATACTGTTTTTCGACTGTTATACCGTTATGTACTTGTATATACGTACAATTTGTATCTCTCCGATTTCGCGAGTGCGCATGTAGCTGTAGTTAATACTGTACGCTCACTAATAATCACGCCATTGCACGAGTATTTCGTTTCACCAGTTAACATATCTGAAAGCGAGTTTTTGGCTAAACGTTCTCAGGAAGCGCATGTTTAACAAAGGCAGATCTAGCCAGTGCTCTCGAGTATTAACCAGAGACGAGGTTGAGTGTAATTCGCTGTATACACGGTGTCGCAGAAGCCACGCGTTTTCAGTGATTGTGATAAAAAAATTCTTCAAAAATTACAAATCTCAGCCGAACATCCATGGCGATTAATTTGCGCAAGACTACTCGCCGTGGAACTCTCGATGGATGACGTCCGAAACGAAGAAATGCATACTCAGAATTACTACAAAGTACGTCGAAATAAAAAGATATATTTCAAAAATTATACTTGCAACCGATTAAACACACTTTTAAAATACTTTCTTTTTGCTTTAATAATCAATAAGTAATTGTAAAATTAACGTAGCGCGTAATATATATATCTTATGATTCCGTCATGTTAATTTTATAGTTATTTAGCGATTGCTAGAACAAAAGAAAAGTGTTTGGACTGTTTTACACATCTGCTCGATCGATTGCAAGTGTCATTTTATGGATACATCTTTTAATTTCTAAGAATTTTGCAAGAATTTTTGGAACGTGTATTTCCTCATTTCTCTGACATCAAAGATGGCTGCGGCAAAGAGTGCCGGTGTCTCAGAAATTTTTAAATCTCGAGGCAAACGTTCTTAGCGGAAAAACCAGTCAGTCCATCAACGTTAATCATCAACGACATAGGAACGGAAACAGCGAGTTCTGAGACACCCATGTATCGATCACTCGACCTCTCTGCAAGCGACACGAGCGTTTGTACGAATACTTGCTTATAAATCCGATCCTTGCGACAAAGGGATACGATCCTAGAGTGTTCAGGTTGTTCCAAATAAGACTCTTTCCGCACTGCAAGTTCGGCGACGATCGCGCAGGGTAAAGGTCGGAATTCGCGTACGACGGCTGCTCGGAGTGATCGTACGGGCCGCAGCAGATTTTCACGCGCGTTCGATCGTACCCGCACACTGCCTGTCGCAATCTACGTCGGTGGAGCACGGGATGAGCGAGCGTCGGGCAAATCTGCGCGTAGCGCAGCCGTTTGTCTGTTCAACACGAAGAAATCGAAAGAAAGCGAAATCGATCGCGTTACCTGTGAACAGGAAGCTCGTCTCGATCCATCAGAGACGCAATCGCCGGACAGTGCTCGATGAATGCGCATCTCTTGTTGTCGGGGCAGGAAAGAGTGTTATTCTGGCACATGTAGTAATGATACTCGGGAGGCTCGCACAGCTCTGAGGCTGCGATCGGCAGTAAGACAAGTAACAATAGGTAGCACATTTTCCGTAAAAAAAAAGAAAAATTGCGTACGATGAAACTATTACTCTTATTATCGATGGATATCGAGATCGGAAAGACTCGCCGGAAAGACTCTCGGCTGATTCCGGGAGATGTTGATTTTCCGCGAGAGGAAAGCAAATATTGATATTGAAAGACCTCTCTCCTTCTCTGTCTCAGGTTTCCGTCGCGAAATCTGTCGTTCTTCCGTGCGGAAACGCGACTGCGATGACGGAATCGATGTGGACGCGTTCCGACGTTTGATTCCGCATTCGCGATCCAGCATCGCCTGTACCGCATGATGAACTGACGATTTCCGCCGTCGCATCGTGCACTCGTCGTGACGTCGTGACGAGGTGGTGCGCGGTGCGCGCGCGACAAACAATTCCGTTTTTCTTCCGTTACCTTGACTAGAGAGCATTATTCCCGCATCCGGCGGATATTCGATGCGATTATCGCACGAAAAAGTTATACGTACGCGCGATTGAAGCGCAGCGTCGTCGTGTCGTGTTGCAGCGCGCGTCTAGATTGCCCGGTGAGCGAGATAGCACGGATGGTTAATGTAGGTATTTTCGAGCGTTATCTTATTAATGAGTCAGCATAACGCTACCTCGCGTTTGGTAGATCGTACACAAGCAAGATAATAAATTATTGAGCACTACTTCGCGCGAAGTTGCTTCGTTTTCGGCGCACAGGCCGAGTTACTTTTTTATACTGTATGTCTCTATATTAATGTATCGTTTACTTTGCTTTGGTTTGCGCGTTTTCTTCTCGGGTCTGTCGTGACTCCGTCACGGGAACATTGGGGGCGGATTCAGCAGCGCGTATATCGTCTCTCGTTCCACTCGATCGCGGTCTCGATGATGCCGGACGATCGCACGAAGTCAACGGCGACGATGTTCGCGGTGCGTTGCCACTTGCTGTTGTACCAATTCGTGACGTTGATGTTGACCTTGTCCGCCATTTCGCGAATGCTCCCGAGCCGGTTCAAGATCACGTCCAATGTGTTGGGTGTCAATTCTGCCATCGCCGATCTCGGTGTCGACCTAGGATGTCTGTAACGAGGGGAGAAGAGAGAGTTTGCGGGGAGAAAATTCGTTCTCGTTACTCTGTGCGGTTAACATACGCGATACTCTGCGTCTCGATGCGATTCAGGTAATCGAACAAGTCCTCGATTTTCCTGACGTTGCCCCACTGATGCGTCACGCAGGGCCACACGCTCTTGTAGAGATTGACCACGCGTTTCTCGTCGTAGCCGATGATGAGTCTCTTCCCGGACGACCAGATCGTATTAAGCATGCTGGTCCAGCTGCTCTTCGGCAAGTAGTACCCGGCGAACTGTTCCTCGAGGTAGCCCACAAAGTCGTGATGTACTCCGAGTTGTTTGCCGAAGCCTGGAGAAATGAGTGTGTGTGTGTGTGTAGTAGTCGAGTAGTGAGTTATTACTAATTACACGAGGAACGATTTAAGAAGAGGCATTACCGACTGGAAACTCCTGCACGTCGAATATCACGATCTCGTCTGTGTTGTCGAGGAAAGTCTTCACTTGGTTCACGACGTTCTGCATGGGCACGGCCTTGAACATCCCGTGATTAGCCCACCATACCGGGCTGCTGTTGGGGTAGTAGCCGACTCTGATGTCCAGATATCGGACCCCGTGGATCAGTTGCGCGAGCACGTCCACGTCCTGCGGTTTAATTATCCTGACGATTACCAGCAATGGTTATTCCATCCAGTTAATTCTTATCTCGTTTTAGGTGCTTGCAAGCTTCCCCAATTCTCACCCGCGCGAGAGAGAGTGCCTTTTAGACGACCTCTGCGAGTCGCAAGCGCGGAATTACCTGCGTTATCACGTATCTCTCGACGATATTCTCGGAGTTTGCTCGCTCGTGTATCGCGTACGACGCGGAATCGTGTGTGCCAGGCAGGAACACCCTGCTCATCGGCAACGGCCCCAGAATGTCCCTCCTGTCGGCCATCCAACGTGGTTGCGTTCGCATGCAATTCACCATCCTGATCGAGCCGTCTCTCAGCCAGGCGACATGGTACTCTAATTAAAGCCAAGCGCTTTACAAAGCTTGCCGCGACGTCGAGACATCAAAGCTCGCCGTAGAAGGAAAGACGAGGAAAAGAGAGAAGTAAAGGTATAAAAGAAACAAACGGTCCTCGCGACCATCACGGCTTTGTTCTTATCGAGATACGCGCCGCACTTCGATAAGAAAAGCCGTGATATATCCGTGTACGTACTCAAGCATTGTTGTACAAACGTCAGGTTCGAAGTGGGAACAAACGTGGCTTGCAGCCCGGTCCTCTTGATGCCGCTCGGTGCATTCGGTACCAGGGTATAAATTGGCTCGAGGTAGACCGTGGGCTCGCTCGTGTACAGAGCTATCGTGTCGCCCGGCTGATACTTAGCGTGATTCCAGTAAATCTCGATCTCGCGTATCACCCTGCTAGACATTATGGGCGAGATAATCAGGCCGATGTGTGCGCGTTGGAAATCTAAAAAGGAAAAAATTGAGAGGAAATATCGAATATATAAAGTCGAATTATTTAACAAGTTTACGTACTCGCATCGACAACGCGTCCGGCTCTTATTTTACCGTCTTCTTGCAAACTTGGTTCGAATTTATTAATTTTGCCACAATGTTCGAATTTTGAAGATTCGTCCAGGACGCGACGACACAATGAGATAATTGAGTTTGATGGTTGAGGATCTAAGACTCATATTAATGAGTTGTTAACTTGAAATTTGGCCCACGTAAGATATTCAGATGTGAGTTCAAAATTAGATGAGTTTTTCAGTTTTTCAGTTGAAACGCGATTAAAGATATAAATGTCACATATACAGAATTCAACTGAAAAACTTGAATCTAACTTTCAATAAAAATCTGACTATCTCATATGTTTCAAGTAACATTATTACTACGGGTCTCAGATCTCAATTTAGAGTTTACTGAGAAAAAATTTCATTGGATTAACTAAATGTTTAGGGAAATATGAGCAAACTAAAACTGTGTTCAAGTTAATAAGATTCTGGTTAATCAGAACTTATAATTATTCAACTCGAGTAGCTGCAAGTTCTTAACTATCCCTTTTCCTTCAAGATTTGTAAATAGCCGTATAATAAATGATGAAATAAAGCGTGCAGACGAAACAAATTCATTTCATTATTTCACGTGTTTCATTTCATCATTTATTATACGATTGTTTATTGATTATCAAGGGAAAAGGATATCTCTCTCTGTCTTTCGGGCAATGTTACAAGTGTGTTCAAGCAATTTCAGATGCTCCTTCATCGATATTTATCTTTACTCACAAATAGCACGCAACTTTTGTCAACGTGTCATTCTTCGCTTCTGACATCACAAATGCAACATGGCCGCAGCGAGATACAAGAAGCTTTAACTCGATCACAGAACTTTGGTAACTTCAGTTCAGAACATTTGACTAATCCAACTAATGGACAAAGTCGTAAAACTCGTAACTTGTTCTCGTAAGACTCGTAAGTTCTCGTAAGAACTTATGAATAGATCTGCAATTCTATGCGAATCGTATATGATAACTCGTAAATATCTACGATTTTTTTTTTTTTTTGGAAGCTACGACTTTATGATTTTACGATTTACTCGTATATTTGCTTAGAATTGCAGCATAAATCTTTCTTTCCGTATTAGATATGAATGCTTCAGCTGAATCACGATTACAGATGCGTCACGTATATCATACGACGCAATTGAAAAGTTCAGATATAATTTTTAAATTTAGACCCGCGAGTATTTTCTCACGTGACGCAAGTTTCAAGTAGCAGACCTTAAGGCTGCTTGGTCCGATTTCTTGGTAAGTTAAGTGATAGTTGAATCATATATTTGTCTTTGTTTTTTTTTCAACTTAGACAAAGACAGATATATAATTTAACTATCAGTTAACTTACCAGGAAGTTGGAACAACTTAAGTGAATCGATTGCTCGCAATCATTTGATCACACTCACCATCTCCCGTCTCGGGTTTGCAGAATCTATCGGTCGTGAGACAATCGGCGATCGTCGCCAGGGAGAGAAACGCGGGAAAGACGGCCGCGAGCAGCTTCATCCTCCTCTTCGTTCGACGCGGTTGCACGGCAGAAAAGCTCGACGAACGAAACCTATGTTCAGCCGCTCGGGACGTTGACATTCCTCCTTCGTGCCGCGATCGTTTCGATTCTTTCCACGAAGCTGAGAGAGAGACTACGCGTGCCGGCAGTAACTGCTGCAAAGACGTCGGCCTTCAACTTCGATCCGACTCGTTTCTCGTGCATGACGGGAACACGACCGCGTTCGCGCTCGGTGTTTTTGCGAGATAACCACATTCATGAAATTCATGGAATCATAAGGAACAACTGGGCCTCGGTTTTGTGTAAAATTCAACGTGCGTGTACTCCATCAAAATATCTCTTATATAGCAGCTCAAAATTACGCAACTCTTCGCTTCTTCCACGAGAATAATATCAATGTTATTGACGTCGCGAGATAATCAAATCGTAAATGAATACCACAACTTGCTGACACTCGCGGCTGGTTGCGACACGACGATTAGGAAATGTTCGATCGATTGATAAATCGATCGACTCTAGTGTCGCGCGATGAGCCTCCACTTCGCGGTCGAAGAACGCGCCACTCTTTCTCTCTCTCCGCGGACAAATCACGACTGATCGCCGCGATCGTCAAGTCGAACTAGTTGAAGCACGTGAACGCACGATGACGACAGATCCCGCTAAGAAAAAGAAAGAGAAATATCCGTGGCTGATAGTCCGCGGTTCGTCACTTTTATAGCAGGCGCCTTTTTCCGAGTCACGCCTTTCTGCTTATCACGAAATTAGCAGAGAAAATCTCTCGGAGAACACCTCTCGCGATAATATTTTCGCTCAAACTTTTATTTACGTAAGAGATCCCAGCGTAGGCGAGCGCGGGCGGCGCTAATTAAGATCAAAAGATTCCCCGGGGTAATTATGTCGGCGACGAGACGATATCTCCGGGCGGCGACACGCGTAATCTCGGCCCGACACGTGATCGTGAAAGAGGAGAGAACGAAATCTCTCCTCGAAGGATTTATCGAGTGACCACGAGACGTGGTCGGACTTTCCGGACTTTCCCGGTCGAGGAACGGGACGCGGCGCGTTTCCACGGTGATCGGCGACGCGCGGAACGTAAAACGAAATTAAGAGAGGAGTAGAGAAAGCAAAGAGAAGAAAAAGATATAAAAAAAAAAGAAAAAAATAAATGCATCCGCTCAGTTCGTCTCGTCTGAACACGCTTTGCCACGCAGAGTGGCCGATGCCGTGATACTATGCAGCACGATTTGGTATCACGCGAGAACGTTGGGAACAGCGGTGCGGCAGCAATCACTACGCGGTTTGTGGTGTTGGCGCAGCACAAGGCAGCAAAATGCTCTTCTCCTCCTTTCTCCTTCTTCTCCTCCTCCGAAGAGAAGAAGAAGAAGGTTGCGAGATACCCACGGAGTGGGACGTCGCGGTGGCATAATTAAAGGCCACCAAAACAGCCCCGTGTCGAGGGCAGCCGTCGAGATGTCGAGAGACTTCTCAGCTTGACAAGAAAGAAAGGAAGAAGCGATACGGTGGGGAAGGAGAAAAGAAGACAGAGAGAAGAGAAAAAGAAAAAATAGAGAAGACAAAAAGTCGCTATCTTCTTTGTACTCGCGCTGTTCTATTTTCCACGACGAGACACATCCTTTTGTTTTCGGCAGGAAATCCCCCAGGAAATTATAAAAATTATAAGATAAAGGTACCAATGCTCGGACACGTACTTAATCCTTGGCATTCTTATTTTTTGGTCCTTAAATACGACTGTTTAAACTTCCGAGATAAATTGCGTGTGCACTGAGAGAAAAGATATCTATGAAATGGGAGACATTTACTCGCTGGGTACTAATAACATATTTACTTTGCACCTGTATAAAATATTTTTCAAGTAGGAAAATATACATTATCTTCACTCAGTTCTTATATTTATTTTGTTTAAATAAAAGAATTTTTAGATTTAAACATGTTATTAATACCCACCGGATATTTCTTATTTTTCAGACATTTTTCTCTCAGTGTACGTACATTGAATACACACAGAACACACGCATTCCATATTGAAAGCTTGAATAGAATGCGCAAGACTTAAGCCGTGAAAGAAAAGAAATGGACCGGGAAAGCACACGAGGAGGATTAGTCGGCGAGGATCTCAACAGGAGAGAGAAAAATCCGTCACCTACCTGTTCGTCGCTTCCGCTTGACGTCGGCGAGGCGGGCGTGATGCTTTGTACAGCAAAACACGGTGTACGCACCTTTAAGTGGTGTAACCTTCGTCGTAAAATGCTTTCACACGCGCGTCGCGACCGCACACGGCATAATCAAGTGGGTTTTATTTTGTATCGACGACTGTTTGGTCACTCGCTCGGTCTCCGATGAGAAACGAGACGCACGTCGAAAACGAAAGCGGAAACGAGGGCGTGCGATACGAGTGACGGCTCGCTGCTCTGCTTACGTAAAAAAAAAAGAGGAAAATATCGCTTTGCGCGGAGAGAGAGCGTCATTCGCTTCCGCTTACGAGAGATCATTATCCGATGCTTATTATATCAAATCGTGCGGCAGGATGTTATAAACAGCTCGCCTATGCGCAGGGAGAAACGATGAAAAAATGCCGCTACGAATGCTCGCGTGCGGTATTCATGCGGAAGAACGACGCGACAGCAGTTGCAACCGTTGCGAAAAAAGAGAATATTGCAATAAGCAGAGGAGGGAGAAGGACGATAAAGGTCCGTATTAATACACTGGGAAAAAGATTTGGTAATAACTGTCCAGTTTTTGGATAAGTTAGCGGATGCTTTGGTGAAATAGTTTTAACTGTAAAGGTACAGCGTACAGGTGAAAACAATTAATTGGGTAAGTATTAACAAATGACTTTAACAGATCTCTTGAACTTTAACAAATCCGTTGCTAAATCTTGGTGACTATTATCAATCTATGTGATACATATGTATCACCGAGCAATTTGCTGAATAAAGTAAAAAATAAGTTAAGAAACTTCAATCAGTTAGGTCAATTAGTTCGTCTAAATGGAGAATTTGTTTTACTAATTATTTTGTAATTATTATCAGACGTTTGCTAACTATTATCATATTTTATATTAATTGCCAAATGTTGTACTCCATGAAACTTTCCACCAAATGCATTTGTTAACTATTACAAGACTTTTATTTCAGTGTAGTCGTTACTTGAAACTCGCCTTAGGTGAGACATTTAGATTTGTATTTAGAGTTAGATGTAAATTTTTTGGCTGAATCGCGATTGTGAATGTAATATGGCATATATTGTCTCATTTAAACAAAAATTCAAATTTGACTCTAAATTTGAGCGTCACGTGGAACAAGTTTCAAGTAATGGCTATTAAGTACGGGTCAAAATTACTCGAGGAACGACCACCTGTGTCTCGACTCGCACACTTGATGCGGTCCGCTGTCATCGTCGTCGTTTCGTGGCCGGGAAAATTTCGTGGCAGGAAGATCCGGGACAGGGCAAGCGCATCGTCGTGCTTTCGGTGTGTTTTTATCATCTTCCTTTATTTTACAAAACTGAAAAAAAGAAAACTTCTGCGAGAGTAACAAACTTTTGGCTTATGTGACTAGTTGTAATACTTAGTGGCAATACTAAATTAGTGCGATGTAGGTATGTACATTTGTTGTTTTACAGACCACGACATCCGTTCGCGAGGAAGCACGCGCGCGGATCTGTCGTCTCGACGGAGAGATTTTCTCCCTTTCTCTTTCTCTCCGTGTATCTTTCATCGTGGAGTGCGCGGCATAATTGTTTTCATTTAGTAGTTTACAAAACCTTGTCTTGAGCGTGTTTCGCGTCGCAAGATGCTCTTTCTCTCCTGAAAGTGTACGCGTCGAATGAAATAAAGGAAAATGCTTCGCTTAAGTTCGAAGAGCGCCGATAAAGATTAATAATAGAAGAGGAGGACAACGGCGATACGAGTCGCGAAAAGATTTCATCTCATCTCACATCTTCGTCCTCGTAATTTCTCCGTCCGGACACGCTCCGGATAATTATCCTAAAAGTGTCACTAAAAGAGTTATATATTTACAGAATGTTAAAAAGTGCATTACACGCGTGCGCGCATTGTCCATCTCTTGCCACGAGCGGATGAAAATTTTGACGTACATGGAGAATTACATGCGCTTATCGTTCGGCACATCATCAATTCCACTCGTTGATGCATCTCACACATACACACACAACTTTCTCTCACTCTCTTTCTCTCGTTCGCTTCTTACACGGGACAGCGAATAATTTAACTTACGGATTACATAGGTACGTAATAAACGTTAGACTACTTTTACGATAATGTTCATAGTCTCTCTCGTGGAAGACGCGGTATGGCAGGATTTTCTTTTTTGATTAGGAATAAATCCTTTTCTTTTTTCTTCGTTTTTTTCTCTTTTTTTTGTTGCTTTTCTTCAGTGCAGGCCGCGGTTTTGGCATTTCCCGTCGCGGAAAAAGGAACTTGGAACGTTCTCCCTCGTGGAGTTCCTCTCGTTAAATCTGTGTCACGAAAAGGAGTTATCGAATATGTTGCGTAACGCGCGAAGGCGTAACGCATGATATACCGAGCGGAAAACCAGGAAGGTCTGCCGCATAAATGCGGCGCGTTTTACCTGTTCAGGTTTCGCGTGAACGACGAGAAACGTTTGCAGCGATAGTGGTATGTTATATCTTGAGGAAATTTACAGTCTGTCACACGTACACATACAAAAGAGCAAGTTAGATCCCGAATGAGTATGAACCTTGAGGACTTTGCGAAGCGAGGAAGTACATAGCGTGAATGCGTGCGTACGTGTGTATGTCTATGTGTGACCGCGGTAGATTCGCGCATAAATCTGAATAATTAACGCGGGAAATTACAAGGACGAAAGCGTAGTGCGTTGCACGAGAATGTCCTGTCTGCGGCTTCTGTGCGCGGTTTCGTTGAGGAGATTCGTTGCGAGAACAATTGCTGTCGACGCGAAATAATCGTGCACAATGCGAACGCGGGGAGCTAATTAACGTGCATTTACGAGGTTAATTCACAACCGTGACTATGAGTCATTCCTCCGTCTTTTTGAATCGCGAATCTGGTTTCTCCTCTACATTGGCACGCGATGAATGTTCTCCCTTCGCTAAAGGAAGAAAAAATAATTAAGAAACGAGATATTCCTCAATTCTGCAACTATATAAGAGCTTTAAGGGAATGCTCGAGCAGAAACATGAGCAAAGTATTATTCCAGCCCCGATCATATGGGAAAAAAAAAACCAAAAAGACTGCAGCGCGCAAAAAAAAAAACACGATTTTCAATATCCCTCTCTCGGCGTCTCAAACATTTAATAGTTTCCAAATAATATCTTGATATTCTTCTATTAATATCATGCATATCTGTGTAAGAAGAATAGTGTATCGGCGAGAAGGACGATCGTGAAACGGACTCTTTGCAAAATTCGGTCGATCGGAGACGATCTAATTGGCGAGAAACGATTTTATCGAAGTGCACGATACGATCCATTCACCATCGCGTCGTCTCTTTCATTCTCGAACGGAGACGAACTTAATCCTACGTAAAATCGATATCCCCCGCGAAATTACCTAAAGCCACCGCCGCGTACATCCTATGAAAGAACTACTAACGTGCGTATACATCGTGAAGTATTGAAGTCTAAGAATTGGCGCTCTGCATGCAACAATTTCGTTAGCGGACAAGGAGCGTGACGTTGAATAGAACGGTTAGCCCGCGGCGAATTCGCATCTCGTTTTACGGAGCGACGGGTTCGACCGTCATCCCGACGACTCGCGAATTAATGTTGTTCCGATTTCCCGAGATTCCCTACAACTTTTGCGGCCGACGAAAATTGAAATGTGCAATGCACTTCTCTTGCTCTCTATGATTTTACACTCGATTGTCTTTCTGAGAAAAATGTTTGGTCTGGAATTTAAGTTGGCTCAGAACGGAAAGTGTCTCCAACGCAGAAGCATCGGGAATCAAATTCCTGTCAATTTTGCTCCAAATGTGAATCACGAAAATCATTGTAGGTTTATCGCGTATGTTGCACACGAAGAAAGAAAACTAGCTGAATTAACGTGTCAGTGACACAACAGAACTGCGCCTTAGCCGCAGACAACGGAATTTCTGGCGAAACGAATTCACTTCGCAAGAGCCAACCCACAATACAAATGTTTAAAATCAGGACATAAGACGTCTCTCGGACGTCGGAGTATAAGACATCTCTAAGACACTTTCAAGACGTCTCATGTCCCGATTTTATTTTAGATGTATTGTGTGGGAGGTATTCTATTTTCCTCAACCAAAACGTGTTCACTTGTGTCATTGTCACGTTAATTCAACTGTTTCCCCTATGCGTTAATAGAAGATTCCAAAACGCGCGATTGTCTGACAGTTCCTCGCCGGTGAAAGGCGGGAGGTGAAAATAACAGAATGTATTACGGGTCGAAGAATCGAGTGATCTATGTGCTGCCTAACACGTATTAGAGTTCGATTCAAGACCCTGTCGTCGTCTCCACATCGTGCGTCACGCGTCCTGCCTGAGCGAGGGGGATTCGACCAGCGCTAAGAAGTAATAAAGAAGGGAAAAAAGCCGTCGGAAATACGCGGCGATGACTAATTTTAAAGTAGTTAAAGTCTTCGATATCAGTCCACTGGAGTTCTCCGTGCACGTGTCAACGGACGATCCGCTCGCTGTGCACGTGGTGTTGTCTACTTCGCTGTCTAGTTGATACCGCAAGCGAAACGGCGGATCGAGACACCACACTGAGAAACAAAATACTGAAAAATTTATCTGTGGGATACAAAAGGTCCGTTTCCGTAAGGTGAAGTTTTATTTCTGCGAAGTTTGCTTCCGCGCGAGACGGAACTATCCCGCAAAGTAAATTCGCGAGTATCCTTTTCTCGGTGTGCTGTAGTCGGACTCCCCGGAACCGGCGGTCGCGATCCTCTGGTCGATCCAGTCTAGGGTTGTATCAGTCAGTCTAGTCTTGACTTTATTGGTCGGTCTAAGCGCGACTTTATCGTCGCTCTAGGCTGGATTTTGTTGGTCAGTCTGTTGGAGGCTCACCGGGGCGAACGAGGCTCGCCTCGATTCCGGAGAGCCGTGTATTCAGTGTGGTTTGCCATGACGAGGAAAATTCGGAACGAAACTCGTCGCCGAGTGCGACGATGATGGAGAAATATACATAAATTAGTCGGCTCTTTCTTGTACAATATGTGTCGGGGAGCGCGCAGCCTTGGGTGTACGTCTCATGCTCATCGTCATGGCGACGTTTGCATTCGTGTTTGCAGGATGATCTCGGGAATAATGAAGAAATCAGACAGGCCCGCTGAGAGCGGCGTCAACGTCACGCAATTCGCCGCAATTAATAGCGCCCGGCTTAAACTATCGTTTTAAATACTACGCGCGCTTAATTAACATACGCGGACAACCAACTAACCGATCTCCAAGTGCTATGCAGGCGACACGTGGCGCGGTAACAGGGATGACACGTCCTGGACGTCGTGAAGAATCTCTCTTTCTCTCTCAACCAATCAATCAATAAATATCTCTTAAATTACCATCTTACGGGTGAAAAAGGAGGGGCGCTCTTCCCGCCTTATACTTAAAGATAACATCGCGCTGCGGTTACACAGATTAGGTGCTTACGCAAGAAGCTTACGAATAGGTTTACAATAATAGTGTACGTCAAATACAGTGCGCGTACGCGCTTGCACTGTTAATATACATATATATTAATTAATGTTAATCCTGATTGGACCTCTCTCTCTCTCTCTCTCTCTCTCTCTCTCTCTCTCTCTCTTTCTATCTATCTCCGCGTCTCTCCCGAGAGACACCAGTAGTCGATTGGGAGTGATAATAAATTAATTCTCTAATCGTGAAGAGCTCCCTTTCCGTCGAAACGCTATTGAATCGTGAACAAATAGATTCGACCGTGCGGTCGAACGCGCACGCCTTCTTCCGACCACGGCACTATCATACATCCAGGAAGGAACGAATCAACGAGAGTACAGGGAAAATGTGCCCGCCGATTGCTCTTCTCTTGTTCTCCTCGGATCTCTCCCGCCGTCGTGTCTTCGATACGCGCACACGAAAAGCGCGATTTTCCGCCTTGTGTAGCATGCAGAATCAAAATGCCAATGCCTGGACACGTATCTAGGCTGAAGAAGAAGCTCGAGTGTATCAATTTCCGCTGAAACGATTCAGAAATTCCGACTGGAATTACCAGACTTCTGCTTGAGTTAATTAGAAATCTTGATGAATTCTTATAACTTCAATCGGCACTTCGCGGAATCGTTCGCGTATTTCATGCAGAAATTTGTTCAGCCACCTGACCAAACTCGTCTTTTCTGTCTAACTGGACATTCTTATAGTTTTTAAATACGAAAGTTTGAATCTTTAATATAGAATATGTATATCCTACGTTGAAAGTTGGAAAATTCGCACTCAAGGACCAAAACAGTAAGAACGTCCAGAGTTAGATACGAGCCCAGTATTGGTACTTTTGCCTCTCATACGAAGAAAAAATGGTTAGGTTAATCGAATGTCTGGTGCAATATGAACGGACCGGAAGTTCCGGTTGAAGTCATCAGAATTCTGTTCGAGTTAACAAGATTCTGGCTAACTAAACAGGACTTCTTCGGCTTGAAACGGGTTCTGGTTGACCAGAAATTTTATTTGTTCCTCAATCAGAGTCTTGTTTGACCTGAACAAAGAATTCTGGTGACTTCATCCGGAATTCTGTTTCGTTCATAGTTCATCAAACGTTTGATTAATTCGACCAAATATGTTTTTCTTCGGTCTACAAATGCGCATCGACCACTCAGCTGTTCAATAAATCATCTATTTCCCTAAATATCCTTATCGTCGGTATGTACAATGTGCAATGTGGATACGCGATAATAACAAGGAGAGCTCGGATATTCGTGCATATTCTTTTCTCTTGCTTTTATTACATTATCGTAGAAAATATATTTATATATATATATATATATGTATGTATGTATGTATGTATATAGGCGCCACAATGATACCGCTATGATTTCCTACGTTCACGTGTCAGACATCGAGAAACAGTTCAATAAATATTAAAGCGAGTCACGGAGAGCGCGTTTTGTTTTTCGACGCGCCGTTAGATTGGACACGCGGATTCCGCCGTCGTGGTGTGCGAGAATCGAGATGATTTATTTACACATTTTCCTTTCGTCACGTACAAGAATAAAATGCGGCGATACGATTGTGGCATGCGATTGCTTGCGATTGCGATTCTTGATATTTGGTTTCAACCGGTCAAACGAGAGGGTCCCCGCTAGAATAAATAGTTCGCGCTCTATTACTAGACTTCGACTAGTCGGTCGAATAATTTTACATGCTATCGCGGCGACACGGTTTCACGGGCGTGCCTGGACGAACGCGGATTCGTCCGGCACGAGGATGGCAACGGCCATGAGGAGAATTATTCCAAGAGAGTAGACGAGGAAAAGAAGAAGAAACACGGCAGGTGTACAGCACGAGCACGGAGAGAGAGTGAGAGAGAGAGAGAGAGGGAGAGAGAGAGAGGAAGTAAATTCTCAGTCTCTCATTTGGCGGTTATGCTTTGTCAATCGATCCGCCGATCACGAGAACGCGGTGATAATTCGCGACCTTGCTCGTTTATTCGAAGCTCGAGCGCGGCTGTCGGAAATAAGAAGGAATAGAAAAGAAGAGAAGAAAGAGAAAAGAATCGGGGGTGACGCATTTGCAGAGTGTGATTAATCGCATTCTCTACGAGACTGACTAGGCGCGAAGGATCGGTCTGTCCGCCTCCTCTCCGAGGCACAAACCATAGGCACAAAACGGAGGGACGTAACGAGCGTGCTGGTGAGGTGCGCTCTCTGACTCGACGCGAATCCTTGAGAAAACGTTGTCGATCGATCGCCTCGACGCGGGACACGACGCGATGAATCATATCGAACGCCGCGATCGACATTCCCATTCTCTCCCTCTCGTCCCGGTCCAGCCCCGTTAGATCCTTGTTTCTTCTTTCTGCCTCTCTTTCTTTCCTTTTTATTCGATGCGTCGCGGACAGGCGGACCCGGCCTTCGTAAATTCGGGGCATGATCGATCGATCGAGGCGCGCTGTGCCGCTGCAACTTTGCAACACGAAGCGGCAAAAGCCCGACGCAACGTCCCGAGATGATACGAAGGAACAAATCCGCGAGTGACGATCCCCAACGTGTCGCGGAGCCCTTGGATCTCGCCGATCGAGAAGATCATTGCGATCCCTTCTTCTTTTTGCTCTCTCTCTCTCTCTCTCTCCCCCCCCCCTTCTCTCTCCCTCGACACCGTCGATGTAAATGCAAATGCATACTTATAAAACGAAACTGCTGAGAAATGCATCCTTGAGGGAGGGGTTCATAAGTTGTGCAGCGAGTAACTTCGAACCTTCCTGATGAAATGAGGCGATTGTACTCTTTTGCGTTGTCATAAAAGCTTATTGCGCGTATTGTTTCGCGCAATTGTACAATCGCATAGAGATGCAATCGTTCCATCTCATGTCGGATAGGAATCCACGATTACTCATCGCACAATCCGACACAAGGCTGCTCAACAAGAGGAACCGCGATCACTTCTCTGATCAAGGCCGCCGCGCGACGAATTAATAGTATTTCCCTTGTGACTCACGCGCGGCGTCCTCTCCTAGAGAGAGAGCCAGTTGGCGGAAAACGTCCGACAATGGAAATCTCTCCTCTCCTCTTCTCTTCTCGGCAGTCCCAGTGCAAGCTAGGGACTCGCTTTATTCCTCGGCGAATCTAAGGAGGAGGCTCGATACGATCGCGTGCACCAAAAGACATCGTGACGTCGAGGAGAGAATGCTCATTATCGAATCTCGCTTTTCCTTCATTCTTCCCTTTTCTCGCGATAAAAGGGGACAGGAACACGATGCCAGTGATATTATCCTATTTCTAAGACCCTGATAATTATGTATTCATAGAGCGGGAGCTTCACGCGGGAGGGGTAAAGGGGATAAGCAGACGATACTGTATGTGAGGCGGTACGGCGCGCTTCCTCGCGGCAAAAGTGCATTAATCATCTCCTTATGTTGAAAGCGCGCGCGCGCGCAATAGTAAAATATAATCTCTAGTAGGAATAAATACTTAAACGTACATACGTCATATATTACTCTTACAGCGGCAGGATTGTATTACGTGCGTGGCGCATACACACAAAGAGAAGAGAAAAACGGAGCGGCGGAATCGACGAAACGTCGGCTCGGATGAACGAGACTCGTCCCCGTTGATGTCGGCAATCGACCAATTACGCGATCACTGTGACAAGTTGTCGATCGATTCAACGATCTGCCTGGGCAATTTCAGCCACGTACCCTCTTTCTCTCTCTTTCTTGCGAAATTTCTCGGAGTGGAATGTCTCAATCGGGACGAGTGAACGGTGGCTGGCAACAGGTCTGTTCGAACAACTTCTGCACTTCAGAATGAAACAAGTACATCTCCCTTCACCTTAACTTAATACGCTAGTTCGGAAGTTCTTCGAGAACGAACAGATCTGGTGCTCTCGGTCGAAGCGATCGTGAAAACACTGCCACTCGAGAGTGCCTGTGACTGCGCTCAGCAGAGGAGACCCCGCTTTGCAACTACTTCGTAAAACTCGCGAATTTGATTGATATATGCTCTTAGATTCAATCAAGATTAAGAGTGCACGCCAATCACATTAACGAATTTTGCAATAGTTCAGCTTTTCTGCTGAACGTTCAGCTTTCTCTGCAAGCTTAGGATGCTTTTCAACTGCGTGTGAGCGAATGTTCCAATCAATTAGAGCGAGACTGTTCTTACGACGGAGTGCCGTTAGATTCGCTCTTCAATTTCGCGTGAAGATACTCCGCGACTCGAGAGAACTCGCTCTGTATGAGTGAAGAATCACTCGGATTCGAGTGGAGCTCGGTGCTCGCTCCACTGGAATTTCGCTCCAAGATATCTCAAGAGCATCGCCGCGTAATTTCTTGCGATGGACAGGGTGAGGATCGTTGGGACGTCAATTCTACTCGTTTTCAGCCGCTTTTCCTTCTCGATATGCGCCACACACACTGTTAAAATTAACATTACTTAAGTGTTTAAAGTAGCTCTCGGCGTACATGCACGAGAAGTCGCGCCGCAATCGAAAACGGAGCGATCTCTCATCGGGAAACAATATCTCAGGACAGTTTTCTTGTTTCCTTCTCCTGTTCTTCTCAAAACTTCATGTCTCTGCCTAAGGCGATCGTCTTGGACTTCGCTTTAACGCGATCGTCGCTTCCACTTCGCGTCCGCGATTCTCCTTCATCGCGCCCGGTGCGTGTATGTTACATAAATACGCATAAATAATTGCCTTACATCGGGACACTAGCGAGCGATTGTTATCGTTACCTAAAGGATGCTCGAAACGCGCCGTACCGTCGTCTGGGTGGTGCGACTGTGAAGAAATTGAGACAGAATCTCGATACATGCGTTGAAACGCGTGTCTCGGCTAACTTACACTCTAAGCGAGCCCCTCTCTTTCAAGACCCCGTCATCAAGCCGTTATTACCGTTATCTGCTATGATCGTAATGGTAAAAATTATCGTAGCGAGAATGCTAATTGTATTGCTAATCGTATTGTAATGAACGCTCGCGTGGTCGACCAGCGCAGCTTCCACCTCCCCTTCTTCCTCGCCCTTTCTCGTCCATCAACGAGCGCCGGCGAAATTGCGGCGCACCAGAAAATATATACACGAACGGGTGTGTGCAAATGTATGTACATGGTAGTACTCGGTGTACAAATGCAAATGGTGAGCGTGCAAATAAAACGGCCGCGGGAATATTAATGCAATTTTCAATCGCGGCAAGAAGCTTGCCGCACATTCGCGAATAAAATTACGCCCGACTGCGCGACATCACGCGGTGTTGTTCAATTAACCGTATCGTCCGAGAAGTATCGAGAAATATCTAACTCGATACACTGGTCGTTGGAAATGTACGGCGATTTTTGCCTCAATGAGATTTGTCGCGAGATGATATCCGCGATACTGAATATGTTAATCGAATTGTATCAATTAATTGTCTCGTAAAGCATAGTCGTATAAATAATCTTATCTTTACGAAAAGTTACACACACATACACACACACGTGCCGGATTATAAGCAATATTTATACACTCGCCAAGTACACATACACCGTTTATGCCGGGTTATGAACGTGCACCTCGAACTTTGTAAAATAGGAGAAGAATACGCGGCCCTTCCCTGTATGCACATTTTCCAACCCTCAACTTGCCTACTGACATAGAAACGCTCGTTACACATACGTGTTTGCTTTGTTTTCGATAATAGTATACGCCGAAGAATCAGAGTGCTGAACAAGCGAAGAAGAGCTACGAGAAGAGCTAAAATCGTACTCTATGTTACATATATTACATGCGCGCTTTTGTTTCTACATAGGTCGTGTCCTTCTACGAGCCGCGCTGATTGTCGCACACGGACAAAGAGATTCAGCTGATATTGTTCTTTATTTCTTTTTTCCCGCGTGCGAGATCGAGTCGAGTCGCGGAGATTCCCCGTGCTTGCTCGCGGAAGCCGTATTTCCGGAATTTCCAGAGTCCAGGAAGGACTCGAGTCGCTTCGATGGGACGTGACGCAATTAAGCCGGCCGTGATCACTAATTACTGTGCAGCTGGTCTCACGGTTCATTACTGCGTCCGGTAGGACGATGGGACCGCGAAGCAGTCGGAAAAACGACCCGCACTCGATCCGGGAAATCTATATTCGCGTTGCCCCAAACTTTCCCGACAGAACAAAACGCACGTTTGATAAACTTTCGTATGATACAATAATCCCGCAACGCGGGTAGGATATATCGTAAAAAATTCGCTGTTACACTTTCTTCCTTTCTTTCGTCGTAAGCACTTCTCGGTTGTCTCCTGTACAGGTGACACGTAATCTCTGAAGCCTCAGCAGAGGCTCGAAAACATCCTGTCGGGGACTGGAACGAGTCTCGAGAGCTTCTCGAAGACGGTGTTTGCGTTGCGACCGGGAAAAGGATTCTTCTTACGGCTCCACGCGATGCAAATACAAATATATCGCCGGCTTCTTCGCGAATATCGATCGCGACAAATTTTTCTGTCACGTAACCACGACGGAGAACAGTACGAGAGAAGGATGCACGAATTGTTTACACGAACAAATCGGTATCGTCGAAGGATCGTTATCAGGATTTGAGTGGAACCGATGCAAGTTATACGTTTCGTTGTCGCGAGTGCAAGTGAAAACGTCTCTCGACGCGTTGCGAGACTCGCTCCAGGGATCTCGATCATAATATACATATTGCGTCTCATTAATTAGCTACTTTGTCTTGTCACACTACCTACCGATTGTTTACTGTCGTCCAATTCCGCATCTGCAAAATCCGAGGCTGAACGTTAGAATCGAATTCCGTGACGTGCAATAGTAAACCTAAACGTGACCCGGCCGGGCCCCCTAATTCACGCACCCGCCGTAATCTCACCCGCCTACCTACCTACCTATCTACCTACTACCTACCCTATCTATCTACCCATCACGCTAATTCTATCGGTAGAGACGTGGATCGTGGATTGTAGACACGCTTATTGCAATTACTACCTAGGAGGTATCCGCGCGAGGAAGAGACTTGTGACTTCATTATTTACATGCGAGGGCGAAGTGTGTCTATCTGTCTTTTCTTTCTTTCCTCAAACTCTCGATAAATTATCGGTGATTACACAGGACTGTGTGTTTATGTATGTGTTTGTATGTACGCGGTAATATTGCATCCAGTTCTATCAACTATTATCTTACGTGTAAATGACCGGCGTTATTTCGAGTAACTATGTACAACCTTGAGATTACGCTGCGGCGTCTCGCGCGCGCGTTGCAGACGCGCGACGCGACAAGGAACTCTGGTTTGTAGAAATCGTTCTGCGGCTGTGCGCCTTGAGAGTCGGTCCCGAAGCAGCATTCCACGGACCTGAGACAACTGAGGAGACGCGGCGATGCAGCGGAGGAGGTCGCGAGCTCGCGCAATTTCAATGAGAAAAAAATCAGGTGCTGCTCCGACGCATCGTAAAGCGAGGGAAAGCCATTGTCGCGAGGCCTCGGCGGCTTCGCTGAGGCACATCGTCGTAACAGCGCCCGGGAACAGCTGCTTAGAGATAAAAGTATGCCCGTACAGAGGACAGCGGAGAAAGTAACCCTCGGAAGGAATGGATAGTCGGCGAACGTTCGCATGGCAGAAGGGCTCGAGAGAGCCCTGGGCGCGGCGTTCGAAGGAAAGAAACACGAGTCTGTGGTTCGTGATAACAATTATTGCTTGAAACTCGCCTCAAGTGAGATCCTTGGTGAAATTTACAAACAGAATCTGAGTTTTACAATTGCGTGATGAAATGTCTGCAATCGCAAAATTGTAACGGAATTGAATACGACTGTTTCAAGTGCAAAGCAAGAGCAAATAATAGTTTTATAGTAATCAGTGCACAATAATTGTGTGCTGTATAAAATATTTAACGATAATTAGACATCAGTTTTGGCGATCTTCTTCTGTGCTTGCACGACGCAAGCAATCGCAGTTCTGCTGAAAAACTCACGTTTAACTTTAAATTCATATCTCACTCGAGGCAAGTTGCAGGTAACGACTATCGATACAGACTGAAGAAGCGGCGGGGCTTCTTTCGCTTGAGAGTGGGAACACTATAGACGTGTCTAATTGTTTTCCGATGGTTTAGGTTCCGTTTGCGAATACCATTGTTCATCTCTTTCCCGTTCGCGCCGGCGACGAGGTCGCGCGCGCGCGGTGTCGGTCTCACCCCGGCATCGTTCTCCGTCATCGAGGTCTGGTTACGTTTGGTCCGCGACGAGATAGAAGGACAAGAAAAAAGCACACGTGAGCGCGTGCCGGCAAACGAGCGAGCAAATAAATGAACGAACGAACGAACGAACGAACGAATGAATGAATGAATGAGCGAGCGAGCGAGCGGGCGACTTGGTAACATCATCTCTCTCTCTCACGTAACCTGCGTCCAACGGTTTCGTCGGACCACTCGCTTAATTGCCCTGAGTATTGTTTGTACACATTTAATATCTACAGGTCCTTCCGCGGAGTTTGTGACCAAAGAGGGCTTTCTTTCTCTCTCTCTCTCTCTCTCTCTCTCTCTCTCTCTCTCTCTCTCTCTCTCTCGCAGGCGTAGCACGAATAAAAGCTTAAGAGGAGCTTCTCTCGCGCTCAATAATGCACTAACTAATCTCATCGATCGAGCGGAACGTCTTCTAAGTTTGGTACGTTACCAAAGTGCTGGAAGCCGTTCTTGAAGATCCGCCCGCGACTGGTACCGGCCTTCATCTGGTCGAGCAACGTGACGTTGTCCTCAAAGTCCTTAACCCAGCGGGCGGTTTCGTTGCCCCAGTGAAATCGTATCGGCGCGGCGTGATGGTAGACCTTCTTTATCCCGAGGCTGCGTATCTCGATACCCTCGTCCGAATGATAGAAGGACTTCTCGCAAAAGTCCTGGCCGAGGAACGGCTCCAGCTCGGAGACGATCTCCATGAAAGTCGGCCGATCGCTCGGCCGCCACTTGAAGCACTTCTCCATGATCTTCTGTATGTTCTCGGGACAGTTGCGCGGTACGTTCAGCACGCCCTTGTGCAGCACGTAGTTCAGCACCTCCTCGTTTGAGAAGCCCTGGTATGGGATCTCGGCGAGGGTGAGTATTTCGTAGAGCACCACGCCGAACGACCACACATCCGAGTCGGACGTGAACACACCGTCGGAGAGGTTCTCCGGCGCCATCCACCGGATAGGCAGCAGACCCTTCTTGCCGATCTTGTAGTAATCGGTCTCGTAGATGTCCCTTGCCATGCCGAAGTCGCCGATCTTGCATACGAGATCCTTGGAGACCATGCAGTTGCGCGCTGCGAGATCGCGATGCACAAACTTCTTCGATTCCAGATAAGCCATACCGTCAGCGATTTCCGCTGCCATGCGCATTATCCGTGACGCATTCGGCACCATTTCCGAGTCGCGTATGCCCCGCAGATATGTCTTCAGGTCACCCTTCTCCATCAACTCCATAATGACGAACGGCGGGTTACCAATGGAGACGACGCCTAACAGCTTGATTATGTGGAACGTCGAGAAGTTCTTCATCACCGAGGCCTCGTTCAAGAATTCATTCTTCTCCCGTTGACTGGCGCTCTCAGAGATTGTCTTGATCGCCACTTGCGTGCCGTTCAGACAACCGCGGTATACCATGCCAAAATTGCCGAGACCAAGCTCCTCCAAGATCTCCACGTTCTCCCGTGGCACTTCCCAGCTGTCGACGATGTATTTGGTCTCGATATAATCCGGATTCACGCTTGCGATCAGTCGCTCTTGCTTCCGTCGTTTCTGTTGATTTCTCACGAAGAAGAAGAGTGTTAACAAGCCGATGAGCAGTATGCTGCCGATTAGCAGTGTCGTCAGCAACATCCGATTGTTGTCCGACAGGCCGACGGAGAAAACGACCACGGCGGTGAAGGTGCCGTCACCCGCTAACGACGTCGAGCGCATTCTCAAGCTGTACTTGCCCGGACTGAGGTTTCTGATGTAGTGACTGTTGTATCTGCCCTCCTGGCGACGGCCCATCGTGTATGGTATGCACTCGGTGCTTTTCTTGGCGTCTTTCACATCCAGATTCGTGTATTCGATGGTGTACGAGGCGGTGAACGCGTTCGGATCCTTCACCGACTCCCAAATCACCTCGACTATCGTTTCATTGGTCACGTGAACCTTCACGTCTTTGATATCATCCGCATCATGTCGTCTCTTTGTCCTGGTGTTCGTGTACTGTATGGACGAGCACAGCGGAACGTTATCTACCTTCACACCGCACGCAGCGATCGTGATGGTGTACAGAGAATAATGGCGTAATTTAGTCAAGAGGTACGAATTGTTCTGGGCGGTGACATTGTACACGAACACTTTGGTGTTTTGATGATTGATCGCGACACTGTTACCCGAGACAATCGCAGAATCTGTTTTCCGCATCTCTTGCAACGGCGTCAACGAGAGATTGTTCGTCAGCTCGTAGAATCTGTTTTCGGAGTTGTAGTTGTTGAACACACAATAATCCTTCCAGCCCGGCGAGAGGTGACTGATGGTCATATTGCCGTGGCAGAATATTTCAAAATGCTTGGAGGAGGTCGTGGTCTTCGTGTTCGCGTCCTTGGAGCAGCAGGAAGCGGGATTCCGAGGCGGTGTCTTCACCGTCACCTCTTCCTGCACTTGCACCTCCTCCTCGACTTCGTTCACCAACGTGTCGTTGCAATAGTCACGCGACGCGAGCAGCTCTTCGTCGTCCAGCTGAATTTCACCGGAGATCATGTAGTAACCGATCGGGCCGTTCGTATAGATTGGCGGGCCCCACTTCAGCAAGATCTCGTTGTCGCTGATCGCATTGGATATCACGTTCGTCGGTACCGACGGTATCGCACTCTTCGTGCGGAAGAAGATGATCTCCGACTGTCCTACCGGGCTGACGAACGCTTTCTCGTTCCTCGCGGTGAACGTCTTCACGTACGCGGCATACTTGGTGTATGGCTTCAAGTTCGCAATGTGCTTCGAGACGGTTGAATTCCAGCTCGGTATATCGACATCGACGACCTGCCACGTATTATTACCGCAGGCTGTCCCCTCATACGTGATGTTCTTGTTCTCGGTCTCTATGTAGCTCAGAAGATAGCTGAGAAGCTTCTGTCCCTCCTGCACCTTGTAGCTGTCCCAAGTGAGGACCACATGATCGGCGGCCTCGTTCTTCACCGTGATGTTTATGTTGACGACGTTGCAGGCGACTTTGTAGCCGTTCGACTCCGGTTGCACCTCGAGATTTGTGAAGTTGGTGATGTTCACCATTTTGCCAAGCTGTTCGATCTTTGAGAGACAAAGCTTTGGATTGTAGTGGAAGAACAGCCTGCCGTTTTCTATCTTGATTTTCTGCGTCAGCGGGAAGAGCGCTGAGAGATTTGGATTGTCCAAGATCACCAAACTGCCGTTGTTGATGTCCAGGTTGTCGCCTTTGATCACCTTGAGCTTCTTGAAGAAGTTCAGCGACGTGATCGGAAAGGAGTGCGTCACCTTCAAGTACGCGGTGATCTCCTCGATCTGGCCGAACGCGTCCGCCAGTTCGTTCATTATATTCGGATTGCCGTTTCTAATTTGGAACTCGAGAGGTCCTCTCACCACCGTGATACCGCGAAAGCTCTGGGCGTCCGAGATGTGACGTATGATGGCACCGTTGCTGATTTTACGGCACCGACCTTTGCACATCCGGCAGATTGTCGCCTGCGAACAAGCACAAGAGAAAGTCACACAAGAGAGGTTCCACGAATGTGCAACGGGAGAATCCCGTTAATTATTAAACGCGCGAACGACGAAGGTTACCCGTACATTTTTCTCATCGGTGTCATCCTCAAACCCATCCGGACACTGAGTGACGCAGGAACCGTTGAAAGGTCGCCACGTGTGAGTGCTGCTATCCGTTTTATGAAGTCTTTTCATACGATTCATTTTCTGGCATTCGTCCTGCGTGATGCATCGTCTCGAGAGATATGCGTATCTACCAACCGAAAACGATGATTGTCGCGCGGGGCGTGAGAACATTGTGAGAAAGGAAGAGAGAAGCGTTTCTCAGGATATACTTACGGTGCGTAATTTCAACTCGAGGCGACTCGAGAAATTTATCGCAATTATATTATTCGCGTGTTATATTCGCGACACGCGAACAAGAGGAGATATAACACTTCTCTTCCCATTGCTTTATCGGCGCGCAAACTTAGTTTATCCGCCGATATCGTGCACTATCGAATCACTTACAGATTCGGCGGGCAGTTCTCGACGCATTTCCCCTCGTGCCGATAATGCTTGCACACGTAACAGTCGCTCTCGGTCGGTCCGTAACACTCCCCTAAGCACTGCGGGTGACATTTCGGTCTCGCTATCTTCTGACAGTGCTGGGCAGTCCAGCAATAACCACCGGGACACTGCGAGCATCCTATCGAGACACATTTCGAGAATATTGTTAGCAGAAGATTTCGATTTTGCCACGATTCTGTTCCATTCTTCGTGGTTTTCAAAGAAAATAAGGAAATATCGTGGATAATGATATTCTCTATATAATGGATATTCTTACAAAAGCATATTCAACATTCGATGTCAATAGTGTGTGTGCGTGTTTGTATTACCTTTCGTGTGCGGGCAATTCTGCTCGTTTCTGTTGTCCTTGATAAAATTCTCGCCAGCCGGCACAATCAGACTCCAATTTAAGGTGTTCGTGAAGCAGAGCGCGGGATTCTTCTCGATGCGTACGCCGCCCCGGGAGATCTTTGTCAGATTGATGAGGCCGATCTGGAGGGGAGAGAAAGGGAGAGAGAAAATTTCGCGCGGAGGATTAGCCGCGGAATCGCGAGTCAAAGGTCGAACGGCCGCTTAATTTGATTGACTGATTAACGTCACTTGACCCCGGCGTTTAACCGAGTTCCACGTGCAGATTGGGCCGTACCTTCGGGCCAGACGACCGCGGGCGCGCTTGACTTGGCGTGGGAATAAACGATCACGATACCGATCGTGCACGTGACGATCGTCACGCACGTGCGACTGAAAAGATCCTTTCTAACATATTCTACTTTCTTTTTATCGGCAGATACCGTTATCCGTACGTGTTGATATTTAATTCAACCAACTCGCGGCCGATCGCGAGCGAACGCGACTCGTAATTATTCTACCGCCGAGATCTTTTACGACTTCCCCTTTTTTCTCTTTCTCATTTTCATTCAAGCATGAATGTAAACTTTCGGGCTCGTTTCAGCCACGTAGATTGGAATTAGCGTCTTTGAGATTTCGTTACTTCTGCCTCGACGAAGAGAAGTTCAAAGCGCAGCAAAAGGGGAAGAAACGCGTTAAAGTGATATTCTTACCTCCTGCAAGCTCGTCAACTCGTATATCATGAAGGCGTAGTCCGTGAGGAGTATGTTGCCCCTGATGACTTCCAGGTTCGGAAAGAGCTTGCTGAGACTCTTGAGACCATCCACGCGATACAGGAGCAGATAGCCGGTGATCTCACGCAGCTTCGGAAAGCTGATGTTCTCGAAGTCCGCCTCGGTATTGTTCTCGATCAGCACGATCTGTAGGAAGCCCTCGATCACGCGGCAGTTCCTCAGTACCGTAAAGTGATTCACGTTGTTCCTGACGTCTATACTCTGGCAAATACCCTCCCCGGTAGTCACGTTCTTGAGTGTCTCTCCCTTCTCCCGCGTCTCCTCGCTTGACTTGGCGTGCGACTTGGGCAGATTTGACGACTGACTAGACTGCTGATTGTTCTTGGACCCGACCTCCGTGGATCTGACACAGTCGAATGGAATTTCATTCATTTCTGTGTCGCATTGAGAATCTATATTCTGTATTCGTAGAACGTCAACTATTCTCGCGTATTCGCCAGAAATCTCACCGGGAGAAATCTCTCTTTTTTTATTCGTTTCCCCGACAATTTCAATATAATTTTTTAAAACCGGGATTAATTAAAACCGATATTTAAAAAAAGAGCATACATATGCATGTACATCTGTCGCGTAGAGAGGAGTCAGGTGCGAGCGCGCGCGTATTTTGCAACATGAAAAGGATTAATTTCAATTAAACACAATGCTCTCTGTGCACAATACCGCGAATTCGCTCGGTGGAGTTAATTTAGCGATAACATTAGAGATCTAAAAGTCGCTAACGACCCCAATTAAGATCAAAGGGAATTCCGATCGCGGCAACGCGTGGTTAAAGTCGCCGTCCCGCTCGATGGCATTCGTAATACAATTCGAGGGGGGACTAATTAGCGAAAATAAAATCACTCGATGTCTGTTGGATTTAAATAAACGCCGGGTCGCACGGCCGAGTCGAAGAACTCATCAAAAGCTCGAGTTCCTCGAGAGGAAGCAATCTTCTCTCGGCGAACTTCCACGCGTGCTGCGCCTCGTTCTTTCGTGGAAAAAGACTTTCCTCTCATCTATTACCGCGGATTCCTCTCCAATTACGAAAGAACTCGAATGTGTATGTGTATATATAAAAAAAAAAGAAAGAAAGAGAGAGAGTGAACGTACCTGGAGTTATCGATCGCCCTGTTGTTTCTATAAGCCAGCTTGTCTGGGAGTTCCAAGTAGAAGTCGTTGGCGGCTGGCGAACCCCGATCGTAGTATAACTCCTCGGAGTTCTCCTCCTCCTCCTCCTCCTCCTCCCTCGTCCTGTCCGCGTAATCGGGCTCGTACTTGCCCTTGGCGCTTTTATCCCGGTGTTTCGTGGTCGTTTTCGGCCACCGTCTCTCCTGGCAGAGCGCCAGGCCCGCCACCGAGACGCACAGCAGAACGATCAGCAGCGACTTTCTCATCCTCATCTCCTTGTCTCATTGAACACCGGGCTGCTGGATTCTCCCGTTGAACGCTCCCGATTCTTATCCCCACGTGCCTATCCCCGACTACCACTTTCGCCGTTTCGTCTGCTTTGATTGATCGACAATTGAACACGATCGACCCCGATGAACTCTCTTTCTCTCTCTCTCTCTCTCTTCCACTTCTCCTGCCGCTCTTGCCGCCCACGCGCAGAGTCGGTCGCTCGGTCAATTACTTCAAACGCCTCTTGGAGATGTTCTTCTCGAAGACGCGACAGCGTTTAGAGGCCTGCACGATCAGCAGCTCCACGAGACCCTCGATTGGCAGCAGCGCGAAGTATCTTCTTCAAAGCAGCCCCTCCTCGAGAACAAGGTGTTTTCGGTCCTTCATAATGTCGACGCCGCGCCGTAATCACCTGGAGAACAGAAAAGGTCGCAAATCGCCGTGAATAAGCGCGAACACAGCTGCGGAACGCGCTCCTCTCTCGATCTCTCCCTTGGTCGCGAATTAATCACGAGAACGCATTCTCTCGCCTGCACGAATCGCTTCTTCTCCCGAAGAGAAGTAGAAAAGTGCACCAGGTTAAGAGAAATGCGTGCACTTCACGTGCGTGCCGCGGTATTCAATTTAATTAAGTAAATTTACATAGCGCACACGCGCGAAAAGAGTGAGACGCTCAAGTGTGTATGTTAATTAAGACACGCATGAAAACGCATCGGCGACAACGGTTCTAAACTAGTTTGCAAATTAATATGGCAACGTCAAACGTGAGCCTCGACAGGGGGAGCAGCCGATAATAATTCTCCCTGACCGTTTCGCCGCGACGGCACGTCGAGAGGAGGAAGAGAGACAAGGAGGAGAGGTTCGCGCGCCAACGGCTCTCTCGAAACATCGCGCGCCGCCCTCGTAAACGACCGGCCGTCGTTAAGTTCGATAAAAAGCAGCTTCGTAAAAGATGTCGTAAAATCCGCTATCACATCGCGACACGGCGCATCACCTTCCACATAAACCGTAGAGGAATCGCTATTTCAGCCTGCTCGATGACGTACTTCCGCGGCGACCCGCTCCTAGAGCCCGTATTCGTTCGTTCCTCGATTTCCCCGCGGCACGCTGCGCTGATTTCCTCGAGGAAAAGCCGCGAGCACGTGGGCGTATCGAGCCCACGGAGAATTGTTTGTACGTTTTTCCTTACTCCGCCCTCGGTCGTATCACAGTCATGAGGAGGAACTCTGCTCGCGTCTAGAGCTCTCGTTCCGCAGCGTCGTCGTGCTTCGCACTCTGTTTCGCTCATCTTCTATTATTAACGTCTCGAAATTTTACGCGGTTGTTCAGAGAACGATGGGGACCCTCCTCCCTTCTGCTCGGGGCGACGTGCTCTACTTGCACACGTGCCTTGGGAACTCTTGCGTCAGACATCCTGTATATCGACGTCTCCCAAGAATCGAGGTATCTACCTACGTACCAACTAACCGAGCCCATTACCCACCCACTCAGTACACCGCCTTCAGCCATCTCGGCGGCTGTCCCGACGCGTGACATCGCGGGAACCTAGAAATCGCAATCTAGCCTCCCGCTTGTCAGCGGAGTTTTGACAGCTGCCGTTCATTATTCATGGTTCGACGTTTTTACGCGATACATACGTATCCCAGCAGCCGCTGTCGCTCGCGTTTCGCGTTTCACTGGGGAACACACGGCGGCGGAGCAGTGATTTACGCATGGACATGTGAAAAGAGAAAGAGAGAGGAAAAAGGAGAACAAAAATTGAGAGCCGCGGAGATCGATTGGCGCGAGATTGGCGTAAATTATCTGTCGTTTCCTGGACGTCGTAATCCCGGCGACACGCGGCTAGGCAAGATATCAGTGCGAATTCTCTCCTTTAATTCTGCGCGAGCTTCCTCACCACCACCGAAGATAACCGTCCGACGTGTCTCTCTCTCTCTCTCTCTCTCTCTCTCTCTCTCTCTCTCTCTTCTTCGACCGCTTAGTCGGTCGTGCGCGGTGCAAATATCTTAATTCGTCGTATAAATATCGCGATAACGATCGAAAGGATGGAGGACGGATGGGGAAGACGCAGCTGGGGGAGGGAGGGGAAAGGAAGGAGATTCCGCGCCGGCATCTCGTCGCGTCGTGGCTCGCCGATTAAAGACCGGATACGTGCACGATACAACACGAGAACTTCGTAATGTCCCGCGATAAGCCCGCGCTCGAGAAGCGGAAGAATGTTAAAGCCTGTAAGCTCATTTTTCCTCAGTAGTTCTCCACGCGGTCCGGAATTAAAGGGCTTATATCCAGACTTCATTCCGCCACTTCATCTTCTTAAAAAATGTAGATTGCAAAAACACGAGGCGGGGGAGGGCTCGTTAATGAGTTTACGTTGTGTGTGTATGTGTAAACAAAAGCTCGTAGCAAATAATACAAAGTTACTACAGATTGTCTTTCATCTGTTTGTGTAGAGAGTCGTTAGCAAATCGGCTTGTACATACACGTATTGTTGAATGAAGTTGCTTTGAGTTGTCAAAATTGAAAGCTACTGCTGACGTATATGCGCAATAATTAATCAAGAGAGCATTATTTGGAGAAGTGATTCTTGTACATTTACAATGCGCACATACGCGTCAGCAGTGGTCTCCGAGATTCTGGTAACTTAAAGCGCTGCATCTTCGTTTGATAAAAAGTGTGGGAACCGATTGCAACCGATCGGACTCAATATGCAACATTGCGACTGCTGCAGCACTTCTTCTTCTGAGCGCGCTTCAATCAACGCGTGGACGTGTGCCGTGTTGTAAATCGTGTTCGATAGCGACAATTAAAAGCTACTTTACTCTCGTTACATAAATCAACGTCGAAATCGGCACGCTCTCGCTCCGACTTCACATGACTTCTTCTCTCGGATCGCGGCTCTCTCGGCGGCAACGGAGTGTCGGGGGTCCCAAACATCGTTGGGATCGTGCGCTTCCTTTTTTCGGTGATCTTCGGCCGGGACCACGAGCGGCGAGCGGATGAAGTTGGATGTTGTTTTTGCCAGACGATGGAATTCCACACCGCGTAGCAAAATAGACAATTTGCCGTTGTCGTCGTCGGCCCGGCCGGCGGTCCCACAGATCCGAGACAGGTATCGGGACGGAAGATGAATGGACGTGCCGAACTTCGCCACAATGTGTCGTGCCGCGCGATAGATCGGATGTTTCGGTGTAGTCGGTCCCGGTGGCGAAGTTGAAAGAAGTCGACTTTTTAGGCGCCGGAGGGAGTGACGGATGCGACCGGATTCGCCGGGAGTGTGACATGCGAATACCCCCGAAGTGGTTTAAGACGTCGGAAGAATGTTTGCGGGCCGTCGCGCGCCTCGCGCGAACATCCGTGGTGTGCATGCGTGCGTGCATCCCGTCCCGTTTCAGGGTAGACTCTCTCTCGTGCAGAGTATCGATATCGAATTAGCGAAGGTATCGGCGATACCTGGTCTTTTTTTGCGCAGCTCACCGTAGTCGGTGCGCGCGCGCAATTTTATATTCAGAGAGAACGAATTGTTGTCTCGATTTCTGCGTTTTTGTCGCGTCGTTGATCGAATCTCTCTCTCTCTCTCTCTCTCTCTCTCTCGTGCGCGCGCTTTATTCGTTGGCGAACGCCGCTCCACATTGTTGCAGGGAAAATATCACTGCAAATATCGCGGACAGGGTTTCGCAAATATCAACAACCCGGGCTACATCGACAATGCAGCGTGTTTAACGTGCACGCCAACACGGTTGATGGGCAAACGCGCGCCGCCGAAGTGAGACTGTTAGCGGGAGAATGACGGGCGAGAAAATACCAATAACTGGAAGGTAACTGTGACTGACTTACGATGGTGGTATTGGCGATCGCGCGATAAGATCGACTTCAACGCCGTTCGCATTTTCGATGATAAATAACGGCAACTTTTTGCTGCGATACTCTCTCGCGCTCAGTCCCATTATGCGGCGTCGTCCTTTGTCGCTCCTTTTCTCTCTCTCCCCCTCTTTCCCCCGCATTTTTGCTCGCTCATTTCCCCTTCTCCCTTACCCTGTTCAACTTTGTTTCCTTCTCTCTTTCTCTCTTTCCTCCCCTCCCCTCTCTTTCTATTCCTCTTTCATCCCCTCCTTTGCAGCTTCTGCCCTGTCTGCCTGTAATCTCGATTTTTCGCTCGGCAGCCGCCAACGCTCTCCTTTTCTTTATCCCACGGAGGACCTCCGGGCTATTCCCTCTATCCCACTTTTTCTGCAAGCTCAGATATGGCGCATCGATTAATAATGGGCCTGCTTACAGTGTTGCAGCGGTTTCGACGCGGGTCGTTTTATTCGTGCCATCGTTATTACTATGTTGCAGCCACCACCAGCTCATGGCGCGCGCGCGCGCGAAACCAGTTTTGATCCTGGCTCTATGGTGAGTTATATTCAACGTCTACTCGCCCGTGAATATAACGCGCTAACATTTCCACGAGCACGCGCGCGCGCGCTGGCAGTGCGCTCTCACCGACGATACCTCCCCCCCCCCC